GCAGAGCCGTCGGAGAAGGTGCACTGAGCGGGGGCACAACCCTGAAAGATAGGGACCGGCACGACACCGCTCGCCTGGGCAATGGAGCGGTGACGGGTCTCTATCACAGTCAGGGTGTCTACAAAGTCAGTGAGGGTGAGGTCTGCGGGGTGAACGCTAAGAAAGTGGTCGCGGGCGACAGCAAGGCGGTCAGGGAGGCGGGTGGCAAGCAGGTAGAGGGTAGAGGTAATGGGCGGCTGGTGGGCTCTAAGCTGGGCGTCAGTGCAGGCAGCGCGCCAGGTCTCATCTATCGAGCGCAGGTGGGCAGCGAGGTCAGAGACAGTGGGGAAAGATGCAAGGTCAGGAAAGAGCATCGGAAGGATCAGGCGACCCACCGAGGCAGCTGGAGGGGTGGAATAGCGCTTGATCACAGCATCTAAGTATGCCTGAGCAGTAGTGAGGGACCTAAAGCGAGGACGCTCGGATGGGGGAAGGGCGTTGCTAATGGCAAGCTGGGCAACAGCATCGCGAGAAAGCCAGACAGAGCGCGCACGGGCAGCGGCAGCAGTAGCCTCACGCTCAGTGGGTGTGGGGTCAGCGGGCAGAATAGAAGGGGGGTCTGGGCAGGGGAGCGTACCGTCAAGGTGTGCGGAAAGCGGTTCACCATCGTGCCGCTGGCCAGTGAGTTGACGGCGGAGGTCAGCAAGCCACGCCTCGAACTCTAGGGGCTGGCCTTCAGCGTCGAAGCGAAGCTCCGCCGCCATCAGGAACAGTCCAGTGCAGTGCAGGGCAGTGCAGTGCGGTGCAGTGCGGTGCAGTGGGGTGCAGTGCGGTGCAGTGCGGTGCAGTGCGGTACAGTGCGGTGCAGTGCGGTGCAGTGCGGTGCAGTGCGGTACAGTGCGGTGCAGTGCGGTGCAGTGCAGTGTAGTGCGGTGTAGTGCGGTGCCAGGCAGTACAGTGTGGTGCGGGACGGCACGGAGCAGGGCGGGGTGGGGGGGAACCGTACCAGTGGGGAGGACGGGGCCGGGGCTGGCCCAACGGGGGCGGGCGGGCGCGACGGGGTCGGGCTGGTGCGACAGGGCTGGGACGGGGCGACGGGGCCGAGCGGGCGCGACGGGGCCGGGCTGGGGCGACGGGGCCGGGCGAGTGCGGCAGAGCCGGGCCGGTGCGACGGGGCCGGGCGAGCGGGACGGCGACCGGGCGGCTGCGACGGGGCCGGGCGGCTGCGACGGGGCCGGGCAAGGGCGACGGGGCCAGGCGGCTGCGACGGGGCCAGGCGGGCGCGACGGGGCCAGGCGGCTGCGACGGGGCCGGGCGGGCGCGACGGCGCCGGGCGGCTGCGACGGCGCTGTCGGGCGCGACGGGGCCTGGCGGCTGCGACGGGGTCGGGCAGGGTGCGACGGGGCCCAGGAGGGGCACGACAGAGCCCAGGAGGGGCGCTACGGGGCCTGGGCGGAGCGCGACGCGGCCCAGGAGGGGCGCTAGGGGGCCTGGGAGGAGCGCGACGGGGCGCTACGGGGCCTGGGAGGAGCGCGACGGGGCCCAGGAGGGGCGCTAGGGGGCCTGGGAGGAGCGCGACGGGGCCTGGGAGGGGCGCGACGGGGCCTGGGAGGGGCGTTACAGGGCCCAGGAGGGGCGCTACGAAGCCCAGGAGGGGCGCGACGAGGCCCAGGAGGGGCGCTACGGGGCCCAGGAGGGGCGCGACGGGGCGCTACGGGGCCTGGGAGGAGCGCGACGGGGCCCAGGAGGGGCGCTAGGGGGCCTGGGAGGAGCGCGACGGGGCCTGGGAGGGGCGCGACGGGGCCTGGGAGGGGCGTTACAGGGCCCAGGAGGGGCGCTACGAAGCCCAGGAGGGGCGCGACGAGGCCCAGGAGGGGCGCTACGGGGCCCAGGAGGGGCGCGACGGGGCGCTACGGGGCCTGGGAGGAGCGCGACGGGGCCCAGGAGGGGCGCTAGGGGGCCTGGGAGGAGCGCGACGGGGCCTGGGAGGGGCGCGACGGGGCCTGGGAGGGGCGTTACAGGGCCCAGGAGGGGCGCTACGAAGCCCAGGAGGGGCGCGACGAGGCCCAGGAGGGGCGCTACGGGGCCCAGGAGGGGCGCGACGGGGCGCTACGGGGCCTGGGAGGAGCGCGACGGGGCCCAGGAGGGGCGCTAGGGGGCCTGGGAGGAGCGCGACGGGGCCCAGGAGGGGCGCTAGGGGGCCTGGGAGGAGCGCGACGGGGCCTGGGAGGGGCGCTAGGGGGCCTGAGAGGAGCGCGACGGGGCCCAGGAGGGGCGCTAGGGGGCATGAGCGGAAGCGGTAGGTGGGGGGGATCCTACCTACGCGTGATACCATATCAGAATTGAAAATTGAATTGATGGTAAAGTGAGAGTACACACAAATATACCTAAGTGTTGTACCCTCTAAGATGTAACCCTATACAGTCTATACAAACATGACAAATGCAGATGTTTGACATATAGTACCACACCAGGTTTAAAGCGCGTGACCCAAGTAACACCAAGACTCAGAGCCTTTGATTCTTGGTCTCGCTCGCCAACTTTGCGAGGTGGGGGCGAAACGACGGGCGACAGGGAGGTTGGGCGAAGGGAGGGACTTGGGTTGGCGACACTCGGCGACCATAAAAAAATCGTTCAGTTTCGAGCGCGTGAAGGGGGGTGTTCAAACATAACAAAATCACAAATACTGAAGCCGCGCCGCCATGCAAAATAGCCCCACGAACAGGACCAGCCACGGTCATGAGTTAGCTCGTCTTTCTCCTAAGCTACGACCGCCACGGTCGTGAGTCCCAAATAAGTCCTACGCACTTTGAGTCTTGATCCACCCTCGCGTCGTTGCTGGTTGCAGGTGCGACGCTTGCAGTCGCACCCCCGCTGTGGTTGGGGTCTCGACCAATCAGTTCTCGTCGTTCAAGGTTTACCTCTCGTCGCTGGGTTTCAGGGTAACCTTGTGTACTCAGGTTGGGTTTCGCGAGCGGCCAAGAATCAAAGACTTTGAGTCTTGATCGTTCTTGGACCACGCGCTTTAAAGGGTCTTCATTGGTCGGATTTCTAATGCGCCAATGTCACTACTCATTCGTGCGTTTGCAGATCGGACGTAGGATCGCGGTAGAAGACCCAGTTTTTTGGGTTTGCGATATAAGATCGGCCCTCAGGTTTAGGTAGCCCGGGCTGGCCTTGATTTGGAGGTTGAGAGTTCCTCTAACCTCATGTACCAAAGGTAGGAAACCCTTCACACTGGAGGCAAATTTGCCCTAGGGTTGCATGCAGTTGGAGCTGCCAAAATTTCACATGGCACTCCTGGGAATGGGGTTTCGCTATTTGTGGAATATGGGAATACTGTACATTGAAGTTTGCCTCCGCGAACCTTTTTCGAACCCGACCTTGGGGGTCATGAACCCCACCCTAAATGTGGTGGAAACTGTGGAAAGGGCAGGAGGGATTGATTGGCTGCTTGGTCACATATGGAAATTGGGCTTGACTTCATTGCGTTGTGCGACGCGGACGTGCATCCTTGTGTGTGGTGGATGGGTGCACTGCACTCAACTGCACAGTCTCTTGCCCGTCTAGAAGGGCAGACATTCGACACTTGCAATGCCACAGGGTCTGGCAGAGTTGTGTACACAGAACAGAAAGGCGGTTCTCTTGAGGTTACACCACGTAGTGTACAGTATTTCCCAATGTCTGTCCATTCAAACCCATTCAGGCTTAGGGCGTGTGGCAAGTAGAATTCCGATCGTTTCCGCTCCGCTCCTCCCGTCGTTCCGCTCCCGAACTCCCGAAGCATGGAACGGGAGCTCCGTTCGTTTTGATGCTACAGTTGTCACTTGCCACATGGACAGTAGTGTACTCGCTGCCCGGAACGAAAATTATGACCCCAAGAAAACTGCATTTGGCAAACTGCAAAATTGTGTTCATCGCAAATTTCGCGAACCCAGCAACCATCGCCACAGCATAAACCACAGTTTGGTTTGGGGTGTCCGGGAGTTAGCATAATAGGTTTCCTGTGTTTGGTTGTGTTGTGTGTTGCCTAACATTTTGCAATGTCGCTTGCTCATGGGATACTTCTTCGCCAGCTCGTATTGGGCAGCCAGTCAGGTTCTTTTTATGTGACTAGGCTGTTCGTATTTTGACCCGAATTTTTGCTCCTCTCCCATGCTTTGCTTCTACAGTGGACCCTTGGCGCACGGACAGTTTCTGCGAAGTGCGTGCGAACCCTACTGTGCGACGGGTTTCCACCTCCTCCGCTCCTGTCCCATCCCTCCAATCGTTTTGAAACTACTTGCCACACGCCCTTACAGTATTAATTTTCGATCTGCATCGACGCTACCGCAGCTGACTGGGGAATGGGCAAGCCCAGCGAAAGAATCTCATCAAGACCATCGAGTCTGTTTTGCTTCAAGAAAAGGAAGAGCAGTCGTGCGCACGACGACCCGCGCGAGTCGCGTGGCGACGACCTGACCATAGCTTCAGTTTGGGGCCTTTATGAATAAAGTGAGGCATCTTTATGAACCAGCGACAAATGATCCCAAATCCGCCGGGATTTCTCCAACTCGGCATCTATCGGGTCAGGTTCAGTTCCTCGTTGCAGCATTGGGTGCAAAACGGGCCGGACCTGTCCAATGGTTGGATGGGGCCTTTGATCGGACGGCATCTTTCTTCAGCTGCGACTTCCCGATTTGGACATGTCGCACAGAGGGGCAATACAGTACGGTGCTCGGTGTTTCGAAACGTTACAGAGCGCTCACTTCAGATGTCAAGGGGAAGTCCGACCTGCCTGGGGTGGTGAATTCCCAAGGTTCCAAGGGGCCGAAAATTACTCTCCCAACCACAATGAATTCCGGCTAAAATTTCCAAAACAAACCGAACCGTGTTCAACCCCTGTAAATCAGCGACCCTGCGGTAACCAACCAAACCTCACCTTCCCCCCCATCACTTCATTGGGGTGACACGGGTACTAATATCATTCACCTCTGCATTCCTCAAGCCCGCCATTTATTCAATCGGATCTTCTCTCGCGTAGCACTAAGCACTCGTTAGCGCACCAGGCGTCTAGAGACTAAAAGTGCTGCCGTCACTGTATCATGAGTTCCGTCATCATGACCCCGGGCGATGAGCCCGGAAATCGCGGCCTGATATTTTGCAGATTCCATTCGCAGAAGGAAGCAAACATTCGGAGGTGGGAAGGTGAGCACAGAACGCTTCGACATTACTCGCGTGCTCTCCCTTTGTCGCCGTGCTCCAATGCAACGCAGTGTGTCGCGTGCTCCAAGAAAGTTTGTTGTTTTTTTCGCGCATCGTATGAATTATTAGCTCCGAGACTCGCGCACGCAGTGGCCTTTCCGTCCCCCAAACAGCATTTTCAGAATGACGCCTAAAAAAATATCAAATGCTTCCCTTGCAGACCTCGAGAGGAGATGTCAAGCGATGGACGAGTCCTCGAATGCCAGAATCGACGGCATAGATCTCACCTCCCTCCTCGAAGATCTGGAGATCGACGACGGCGGCGATTGCGCCAGCGGCGGCAGCATCGATCACAGCGTCGTCGCAACGATGTCGCCAATAACAATCTCTTCAGTGGTCGGCAGTGAAGGCGGCGACACTCCGACTCGGAACGGTTCTCAACGACGACGGAGCTTCCCGGTGGAAAGCGACGACCGCGAACGCCCTCGCACTCCCAAGAAGCATGATGATAATCTTCATCATCGTCACCATGCAACTCCCCAGCTCGATGACAGGCAGTACCGCCGGGCGACTCGCCACGCGGCTCCAGAATCGCCCACGATCGGGACAGGCGCTTCGTGCATTTTTTCCTCCGGGTCGCTTAACAGTGCTACCGCCGGTGCGGGCGGTGGTAGTCCTCAATCCACTCTAAGTCTACGGTCCTCTCAAAGCGATTCGGCAAGTTCTGCCATGATGACGCACAGTGGCAGCGACGGGAGTAATTATCTTCTCGCGCAGAACGAAGGGGACTCGTTTGGCTCGACGCGCAGCGACGGGAGAGGCGGCGGGAGTGATTGGATTTACTCTGCCCCAGTACATGGCTCTCCTTCGCTCCTTGGCGCTGCTCCAGCCTCCCCCTTCCGCTGGAGCGCGGTCCCTGCTGCAGCATCGGGTGCTACTAAGTACAAGAATGCTTCTGCTGCGGCGGGTGCCACTGCTGCCCATGCGGCCGCTGCGACTGCTGCTGGAGGCTTTCCAGTGCAGGAAATGGTGCCAGGAGTGGTGTTTTCAAGCCCACAGCACATGCCTCACGCCGAAGCAGGCACAGCTTTGGACGTACATCATGGAGCATCCCCAGATCCAACAACGGCGATGCTTCCCAGCCACTTTGCTGCTGCTGCTTCAGCTGCAGCGGGTGTTTCTGGGATGGCCCGGCACGTCAGGAGCAACACGGGCAGCCCGAAAACAATTTCCATGTACGTCATCAAAGGCGGGCAGACGGTGCCGTATCGCATCGGTCAGCAAGGGAAGAATGGGTCGGAGACGATGAGAGGGATTAAGGGCGCAGGGGAAGGCCCACCAGATCAGACACTCAGAGGGTTGGTGAAGGATGTGAGAGGAGGGGTGGTGAAGGGCAATATAGGTGGTCCCACATGGTCGGGGAAGCAAGCAGTCGAAGGAGGGAAGTCGCAAGTGAAGGTGAAGGCTGGTGCTAACCCTGCTGCTGTGGAGGCATATTTGAAGCTAAAAGCGCAGCAAGCAGGAAGGAAATAAGAGAAGCATTGCTGAGTTAGTGACGCTGTGCATTCAAGATGTTTGGTAAAAGTGCACAGTAAACTTTCTCATTATCTTAAGTACCAACAATTATATTCTACATCCAGATAACTGAATAAAACACTACTAAGTTGGGGTCCATGCTTTTACATTGCTGAAGCCATTTTGTAGCGTATTGCAAGTGAGATTAGAGTGATTTTTAGGTGTAGGTGTCCAATGTCCATTTACACACACCACGGATGAATGCGCGCAACGCGGACAAGACCACGGCCCACGGTCCTTCGTGATTTGCTGGTAAGTGAAGCGAATACGCGCGCTCATTGGCTTTCCCTATTCTCAGGCGCCGAGGGAGCTGGTCATTGGTGCGCTTTGCGACCCTGATGGTGATGTGTGGGTGGATCTGAGGCCAGGTGGGTGTTGTGGTGGGGGAGCGAAGGGATTGGCTTGGGCGGTGCTGGTTCAGTGAGGGAGGGGGAACTGGAATCGCCAGGAATTGCGGGTGACTCTGACTGATAGTGAGTAGGGGCAGTGGCAGACAGCACCCTGGGGAGTGAGCAAGTAGTGATTGAGTGAGGGATTGAGTGAATGAGTGTGGGCACTGGGTTGGCAAATGTTGCCCCTGGATCCAGATTTTTATCTCAGGGCGTGCCCGTACGTTTGATTGCGGTTGGGTGAGGTTTCTCACGGGTCAGAAGGATCGATAACAAATCTAAAACGGTTGGATAGGGTTTAGACAAAAAACGTAGGCACTCATGATCACTTCCACCTTTCCACACTCTTGGGACACGCCCTTAGAGAGTGAATGCCAGCATGGGTGTGCGCATCACCCAATCCAGCCCAACCATGGCGGGGGACCGCATTTTCCCTTGTCTCCCTCTAGACGAATCCACTTTGACGTACAGTAAACGTCCGCGTCGGGCTGTGGTTATTAGTCTGCCGCGTGGCAGCAGCTCGCTCCACGGCTTGGCATTGGTATGTCCACTGGGGAATTGTACCACGCGACGATTGACTAAGCTCGTTCAGTGTACAGAATTCTGCGTAAACATCGTTGTCGCGACCCGCGACAGGACGGCTTGGCCATGGCTAGCCCCTCCTCCTCCTCCTCATCCAGCCGTCCGATCCGACTCCAATTCTATTTTCAGCCTGAGCATCGCACCACCAGGCAAGTGCTCTCTGGTCTAGGTCACATCAAAGGACGAGGCCTCTTCGGTGCAACTTGATGCCTGAGAAAGGGGCACCGGTGTTGGTTATCCATCCAGCCAACAGGTAAAGGCTGAGAAATGAGAAAGAAATGTGCACCATCATCGTTTTCATAAATCAGCCATTCCTGTCTGCCATCTGCCACTCTGGACATATCTTCATTCCCAGCGGCTACTAATAACCTGCACCACATCTGCTAGTGCTGTATCATATCTCCCACAGAACCTCCGCCATCCCCGCCATTTTCGTCTACTACTACTCTCGCGCACCGCAAGTAACCGCTCTAAGCGCCGCACTAAACGCCGCAGTTAAGCGCCGCGCTCACGGTGCAGTGATTTGAGAAAACCCTGAGGCTCAGCACACTAAGCGCCGCACTAAGCGCCGCACTAAGCGCCGCACTAAGCGCCGCACTAAGCGCCGCTTGAAGCGCTTCCAGCCGATCATGAGCTCCGCGCTTTCCGCCGATCCCGCAAAGGGGAAAGCGGTAGAGCAGTACTGGAACATTCACGGGTCGCATTCCGCCATGGCGACCCGCGAGCCCGCAACTCGCGGCCTGAGCAAAGGCCACTCACAGAAGGAAGCTCAGGTTCGGGCTTGGGAAGGTGAGCCTTGTCAGCTCTAGCACGCACCGTATTCAGTTTTCTTCTCTATTATCTTACCCTCTTTTTTTTTTAGTAGTATTTTTTTTCTCGTTTGGGCCTTATCTTTCTGTGGCCGGATTCTTGTCTAAGTGTCACGGCTGAATCAAGCATCGTGGAAAGATATTACTAATATCAGCTGTGTAGGATTCGGTCCAGGCTGAATGGGAGAGAGCCTTTTGCCTTCAACCATGGCTTCCCACATTTCTGCTTCCCATTCAGAGCTCGAGAGGAGGTGTCAGCTGATGGATTCCTCCAACGCCAGAATCGACGGCATCGATCTCACCTCGCTCATCGACGATCTGGAGATCGACGGTGACGAAGACGACGTCAGCGACAGTGATTACGAGTTCGGTACATCGTCGGCAGCGCGTGGGAAGGCCGATCAGTCACGGGACTCCTTTGACTCGGCGCGCAGTGGCCAGAGTGACTCTAGGAACTCCTTACCGGGGATGGTCTATACTGCCGGATATGGCTCACCTTCGCTTCCTCACACCGCTCCAGCCTCGCCGTTTCATAATTGCCGTTCGAGCGGCATTATCGTCCCTTCTGCTTCCTCGGGTTCTAAGGCCTCAACTGCTTCTGCTGCTCCTCGTGCTGCTGCTGCGGCTGCTGCTGCTGGGGCTTCGCCAATGCAGCAGAGATTCACACCAGGAGCGATCTTCAGTAGCCCACAGTACTTGCATCAACCGAACCCTTCACCTGAAGGGGCGTCTGTCGTGTCCGGATCGTCCCCGCTTCCCATGGCTTTCATGCCGCGCCATTCCAGCCTCAATTCTCTAAACTCCCCTGCTGCCGCCCCTGCTTCTGCTGCCGCCGATGCAGCTGGGACGGCCCATCACGCCAGGAGCAACACGGGCAGCCCGAAAACAATCTTCAGGTACAGCATGCAGGGCGGACAGACACCGCCAGATGGTGCTATCCCCAAGCAAGGGAAAAACGGGCAGGAGACAAGCAGCACGGAGGGAGAGCAACGAACATCACGGGGGGGGTCAGAAGGAGCTGCAGTTGATGAGAACTCCAAGAGGCGTGGAGGTGCCACGTGGGCAGCTGTAGGGCACTCTGCTGCTGCTGAGGGAAGGAAGACGCATGTGAGGGTGAAGGCTGGAGCCAACCCTGCTGCTGTGGAGGCGTATTTGAAGCTCAAGGCAGAGCGAGCAGGAAGAAGATGAGGGTGATGATGCCGAGTAGTGGGTTTGTTTTGTCCAATAAGCTATGATGTTAACATTAATCATCTTGGCCACAGCTTCTAGTTTGTCATGTACTGGTACCATACCACTTACTGACAACCTGGACAGGTGCATTCAGTTTCAACTCGTCGCTGCAAAGAACGTGCATGATAGAACCTCCAATTACTGAGTTCGATATATACAGACACGATAGCATTTACATTACAACTACACAACTTAAAACATGCGACCAGCCCCTATCTTCCTCTTTGGGCCTTCATTTTGAAATACGCCTCAATAGCAGCAGGATTCGCCCCCGCTTTCACCATCACCCTTACTCCATTGGGCTTGCAACTGTCAGCAGCAGCAGCAACAGCAGCTGCTGTTGGTTCTTTATTCTGAGCAGCCTGCCCGGATCTACCTTCCCCAGCTCCACCTGTCGCACCACTGCTGGTGGGACGCAGGGGCGTCGTAGATGCCCCAGATGCACTTATTCCTTCACGTGGCATGGGTGGCATGTGTGATACACGTGGTGACATGTGTGATGCGCGTGGTGACATGTCACCACTGCGCGTGGAGGCCATGGGCCAGCTCCATGACTCTCCTGCGCTGCTCTGCCACAGCAGCACATGGTGCGGAGACGGCTTCAGGTCACAACTCCCAACGCCAGTGCTGCTGCTACCGCCGCTGCTGACGTCATTGCTGCTCCCGCCGAAGCTGCTCCCGCCGAAGCTGCTGCCGCCGAAGCTGCTTCCCCCGAAGCTGCTGCCGTAGCTGCTGCTGAGCTCCAGGCTTCCGCTGCTGCTGTTCAAGCTGTTGGTCGAGCCGAACCCATGCCGCAAGGGGGCGCTGTGAGGGGAGTCTCCAGGGAAACAGTCAGAGTGGCTTTCTTTGACGTTCCCCAGTAGGAGGGGCGAGGATCCTACGCTCTGTGACAGAGGAATCGGAGTTGTTGCCGCGTCAGCGCGCTGTCTGGGGGAGAAAGTGCGACTAAGGCGGGAGGCGGGTTTTGGAGCGGCGGGGAAGTGGGGGGTGCATTCCGCGCCCTCGCCGCGGGTGGGGCTGTTGGCGCTGGGAGGTCGGTGGAGGAGCGTTCGGCGCAAACCACTGTCTGCGCTGTCGGCGGAAGCTGCGCGGCGGAAAGAGGAATTATCTCCAGTTGTGGACGGCGCGGCGATGGTCCTCGCGGCACCGCCACGGTCGTCGACGTCATCGCGCCGCCATTCCGCGTTCGCTGAGTCCGACTCGTCGCTGCTTCTATCCTCGTTACTGCCGCCCTCGCTATCGCTGTCGGCCGGCGCAACGCCTTCTTCCAACATGTTGGTGAGATTAATGCCGTCGATCTGCACGTTATTCGAATCCATCACCAAGCACGAACGCTCCAACTCGTCCCACCCGTGAGATGCGGCGCTTTCGGTTTCCCATCCACTCTCCTCTTCAACCGCTTCCAATGCTGGCCGCAGGCTGCTCATGCTCACCGCGCCGCTCGTTTTCACGACATTTACGCCGCTGGTGAAACGGCTGTTGCCAGAGCTGCTGATTATGACGCCCGCTTGCATGCCGCCGCCGCTCGTGCTGCCGCGGGCTCCTTCCGCGCAGTTGTCCGAGTGATAAGATCTCTCCGCTGCGCCTGTCATGTTTCTTCCGCCGCCCGTATTGCCCCTGCCGAGTCCGCTGGTTATTCCCAGCCCGATCCCTTCGCTGAGCATGTTGAATCGCTGCTCGATGGACGGATCAGATGCCATGATGGTGCAGAGCTTGCTCGCCATGATTGTTTGTAGTTATATGGGAAAACTTGAAAAACAGTAAAGGGAACGGGGAAGGTGGAATGTCAGCTGGTGATGGGAATGGTGCGACGGTGCGATCGACGGTGCGGGCGACTGATGGATGTTGGGCGCGAGGTTACGGAATGGAAAATGCTGTCGTGATGATGGTGTGTGCGCGGCTGAGTAGTTCGAATGGCGGTTGCTGCAGGAGCTCTGTCTGGTGCTGGATTCAAATGGCGGATGCTATGCCCTCCGGTGGTGGTCTTGGTCTAAGGAGCAACAAGCAGCACCAGTACAGTAGCACGCCCTGGCTGTAGATGCTCTTGGCAGTAATCTGAGATCGAAAAATCAAATTATAAGATCGGTGAGGGCTCTCTTGCTCCCAAAATTAATTCGTCCTGCTCTTCTCTCATGACCAAGAAGATGGAACCGCTATCTCGCCGCACCGCATCGCATCACATCTCACGCGCCCCGCACTGGTTTCACGCATTGGAGCCCACAGTGCGGATCGAGGTGCGTCCTGCCTGACCACAGTAGACGTGGCGGGCGAATAGACGACAAGGATCGTCCTAGCTGGAACCCATCGTCGGTTCGGTGGCGATGGTGGTCAATGGCTGCGATTTGCTTCGCGAAAGTGTACAGTAAGCATGCCAACTGCGGAGCAAATTGAACACCAAGTTGGTGTTCCGTTACGATAGCAGCAGGATCCTGGCATATCCACGTAAGATTAAATGCTGCCACATCTGCAGCCACTATGGCGACTCAGCAGCTGAAAGTCGCACGTTATTGGTGAACACTCTATCCAGGCTGGCCCCGACCAGCCCGCCGCGACAAAAAAGCATGCGAGAGCGGACCAGCGGCACACGTCACCCTTCGTCATAAGCAGCTTGGTGAATGCAAAAGGTGTAGGGAACTGAGCGCCACACGATCATCGAGCGATGTGAGAGGGACGTAGGACATGCCACGCTGATTCCAGAAAGTGCTTTTTCTTTTCTTCCAATGGGGGCCAATATGGTCATTGACTATTGGCCCAACTGGTGAAGGGGCTCCCACGGATTGGTTGCAATTTTCCCTGGCGCTATGAAAGAAGATTCCCACATGATCTCAAGCACGCTAGGAGATACACCGGTTGCGCACCATGCACCTTCGGTCTCAACAAATCGCGTGGGCATAATGCGCACACGCATTCCGCAAGCTTTAACCACCGAGAATGGCCCAAACGTAAACCCCGTGTCAGAATTTCTGACTTGCGTAAGAGGTAGTTATAAAAATACCTCCTCTGAGATATGAGAAAGGTGCATTACGTCGTGTCACAACGATGCGCGGTTTTTGTGGAAATTTGAAGGGGGCGTATTCTTTGAAATTTCTTCGCAAGGACATGTGGCCTCCTCTGTGTCGCAGGTGCCACAAATCCCAGGTGAATGGACCATCAGATGAAAGAGCCGTTGCCCGTGATTGGTGGTGAATGGGCGCAGATTCGGGTGTGGGCCCGTCAATTTTCCGGGACTCGCTGGACACCTGGTGTAGCTTGCATTCTCTGGCTCCTATCTATGACATAATACAGTCGGACCATAATAATAAAAAGTGGAACCATGAGACCCGTTCCTAACCACCACTACAAGCAGCCTCCCTACGAATCTTCACCTTGTTACATAGTTTACCTAACGTGTAGCTGCTTTCCCCATTACCCTGTGCATACCCTGCCAACTTGCATGGCTAGCAGGTTTCGCTTGGCTTTTCATCGTGGAACAAAGGCGCTACATTGTCGAACAAACATTAGGCATTGTAACTCAACCCATCAGAGGTATTACGATACCACCACCCTAAGTGCCGTCTGATTTACAGACAAGCCAGAAAACCTAGTGCGGACAGCACGGCAGGCACTACAAACGGACAAAGAAACAAACACTGGACAGAGGCATGCATCGTGTACCGTGCTCACATATGGGAAAGTTACGGTAAGTGTCTTGTGGAAATTTATGCATTACTTGTAGGGTCCACGGGGCAGGTTTTGGAAATTCATAAGCCGAGGCGGCAGATGGGATTTGATTTGATCAGCTTCAGATCAACCTGGAAGGGTGTAAGGGGGTGAAGGGAGGTGGAGTGGAGTTGGGGGGGAGAGGTGAGGAGTGGTGATGGGTAAATGGTTTGCAGCAGATTGAGGGGCATTGTTGGGTTGCAAATGCATGAGGCAGGAGCAAGACGAGGATAGAAGGACGGAAAGAAGACTTGGGAACGGGGGATGTGAGAGGCTGGAGTGTGCGAGGGGCCTTTTGAGTCGACTCAAAAGGGGGATGTGAGGCTGGAGTGTGCGAGGGGCCTTCTGAGTCGACTCAAAAGGGGGATGTGAGGCTGGAGTGTGCGAGGGGCCTTTTGAGTCGACTCAAAAGGGGGATGTGAGAGGCTGGAGTGTGCGAGGGGCAGAATCCAATGAAGGAATGGTCTGGAGAGGTGACCGCTTCAAAATTCGGGAAAAGGGGAAAAAAAAAAAAAAAAAAAAAAAAAAAAAATCCATCCTCTGTATCTCCCCCCCCCCTCTCCCTCTCCTCCCACCCCTCCCACCCCTCCCCCCAGTAGCTTATACGGGGAGGGCCAAGGGGAGGATCAGGAAGAGTCAGATGGTCATATTGTCGATCATCTGACTCTCACGACCCCCTTCCCTCGACTCTCACATGATGGATCCTCACCTTATGGCCGAAGAGATCACGGATGTTGTCGATGTGATACAGAATCATAGTGGGGCTGGTTGTAAAGGGGACAAATAGGGATGGAGGGTGGTTGTGGGTGGGTGGGGGGGAGAGGGGAGAGACGGACACAAATGTCAAAAGAAGATTTATCAAGAAAGAAGGGGGGAGGGGAGGAAGAGGAGAGGATGGAGGGAAGGGTTTAGGAAGGCACAGATGAATCTGTGGTAGCGGGCTGAAAAGAAAGGAGAGGGATGAGCCACGGAAAGATTGGGTATATGCAATTCAGTGTGATGGAGTGCGGTTGAGAGCGGTTACTCAATCCTTGAGGGGCCCCCCCGCAATGATGGAGACGCCAGGGAAGAGGGAAGGAAGAGGGGGGGGGGGGGGGGGGGGGGGGGGACAGCTGCAGGCACTTGTGCAGCAAAGAGTGCTGCGGTGCGGTTGAGCGAGACGTCCCAGGCAATGACGGAGACGTCAGGGGGAAGCCCCATTGGCTGCAGCATCTCTGGGTGTTCTGGTTGAGTGTAGGTACTCACCGCTCGAGGGAGAGGCCCCAGGCAATGACGGACACGTCAGGGGGGAGCCCCATTGGCTGGAGCATCTCTGGGCGAAACATGCCGCTGTTGCCCACCTCCACCCACTTCTTGAGCTGCTCATGGTAGCTGGGGAAGGAGTACAAGAGGGAGTGTGAAGTGAAGAGACAGACGAAGTGTGGGAGAGGGAAGGGGGGAAGGGCAATAAGACGCATGCCGCTGTTGCTGCTGTTGGAAAAGCATGGGAATATGCACGAGGGGAGGAACAAGGGGCATGGGGATAAATAGACTTGAGCATTCTACCCGGTCGGGTCGCGGGTACCCGACCCAACCAGGTCGGGTAATTACCCGGTTTTGCTCATGTCTAGGGATAAAGGACGAGGGGAGGAGCAAGGGGCATGGGGATATGCACGAGGGGAGGAGTGACGATGCGGCATTGCCCTACCTAGTTGAAGGGGTAGGGGGAAGGGAATAGATGGAAAAACAATAGAGCATGGGCGAGAGGAAAGGCAGCAGGATTCACGCTGCTGTTTCCCACCTATAACCACTGCTCAAGCTGCTTGTGGGATCAGGGGAGGGGGGGCGAGGAGCGGACACACAAAAATTTAGGCGCGAGGAGAGAAGGGGCATGATTGGCTGTGAGGTTGAAAGGGTGAGGAGAGGGTAACTGGAGCACCTGATCGTTCATAGCCTGGAGCCCTCCCTGGAAGCTCAACCAGGCCCACCTGAAGATCACCTGAAATTTACCTGAAATCCACCTGAAGACCATCCGGAACCCACCTGAAGATCTCCATGCTGGGTTCGGTGTAGGGGTTGTAAGCTGGCTTGAAACGCAGGCGAGTGATGCCTGGAGGGGGGTGTCACAGACACAAACATGACACAGGCAACAGCTTAGTGACGCATTCATGCCGGTGTAGCGGCAGTAGCAACAATAGCTCGCTGGGTTCGGTGTCGGGGTTGAAACGCAGGCGAGTGATGCCCAGATAGGAGAAGGGAAGGGGGAGCGGAGCAGGGGGGGGGGGGAGGAGAGGGGAGGGGCAAGTAAAAAAGAAGGTATGAAAACTTTAATGGACCTTTCAAGGTTTGAAGAATTTTAGGGTACGTTCCTCGCCTGTGGCAGACTACTTTGTGGCAAGTTTTGGCAAGTTTTATAACAGTCACGATTGCAAGAAAGGAGATTTTGGATGATCCAGAACGTTGAAAGAGGCAGATGGAAAACTTGCCACAAAGTGTGCCACAGGCGAGGAACGTGCCCTTAGGCCCTTTTTTATGAGCAATTTTTTTGGGGGAAGGGAAAGGACGAGGGGCACACGTGATAGGGGATGGTAACGTGCAGAAGCAGATCCAGACTTGGGAGGATACAGCACAGGGTCGGCAAGGAAGGAAGTGCAGGTTCGGCAAGGAAGGAAGCGCATACGTACCCAGTCTGGCAAAGAACTGGTTGAGCACGCCTATAAGGTCACCTAGGGTTGTGCCCCGGTCACAGATAACTCCTGAGGGGAGTCGAGGGAGAGAGGGAGCGAACGAGCAAGACGGGAATAAAGGGGGGGAGAGAGGGCGGGGGGGCGTATTGAGAGACGAAAGAAAGGGCATATTGAGGGAGAGAGGGAGCGCGCGAGAGGCGAATTAAGGGGGGGAGAGAGGGAGGGGGGGAGAGAGGGCGGGGGGGCATAGTGAGAGGCGAAAGGACTGGTTGAGCACGCCTATAAGGTCACCTAGGGTTGTGCCCCAGTCATAGATAACTCCTGAGGATGGAAAATGGAGACAATCACGGCCCGGTAAGGGGGATGGGGAAGAGAGAAGAGAGATTGAGCACACCCGCGTGGGCTAGAAGGTGCAGCGTGTAGTGATTGTGCATGTGATGCGTGACTCGCCCCCTACTAACCCCAAAGCTCTCATCTCACACCTTTTATCTGGTGGAACTCTACCAGATGAGTCCTGTCCACCGCCTCATTCCGGAAGACTCGATCGATAGTACTTCCTTGGCTGGACGCCCTCCTGGGCCAGCTGGTACAGCATGCGCGACGACTCCGCTGTGGTGAGCCTTTGAACTAGGGCCTTTTCACCCCTACTCTCTCACGCACCTTCTATCTGGTGGAACTCGGCCAGGTGAGTCCTGTCCACCGCCTCATTCCGGAACACCCGATCGATTGAGAAGTACTTCCTTGGCTGGAAGCCCTCCTGCGCCAGCTGGTACAGCATGCGTGATGACACCGCCGTGGTGTGCGTGCGCAGGAGGTTCTTCTCGGCTTCAGCCCGCTTCCAGTCGTAGCCATAACCGGTGGACCCATGCCCTCCGGTCTCGTGCATTGTCTTCACGCGCTGGAGGTAATCCTCTGGGAGCTCTTTCGTGGCAGCAGGGGCTGCAGGTGTGTGTTTTGGGGTGGGGGGGGGGAGGGGGGGAAGGAAGGCACGAGAAGAGGTAAGCTCCTGTCTCGTGCATTGTCTTCACGCGCTGGAGGTAGTCCTCTGGAAGCTCTTTGGTTGCTGCAGGGGCTGCAGGGGAAAGGAAAGCAAAGGGATGGAGAGGGATGAAGAGGGATGAAGAGGGATGAGCAGGGGAACAAGGAAAGAGGTAGACACCGCTGTGGTGTGCGTGCACAGGAGGTTCTTCTTCGCCTCGGCCCGCTTCCGCCTCGGCCCTCCCGTCTCGTGCATTGTCTTCCATCGGTTACGGGTAACCGATGGACCCGTGCCCTCCCGTCTCGTGCATTGTCTTCCATCGGTTACGGGTAACCGATGGACCCGTGCCCTCCCGTCTCGTGCATTGTCTTCCATCGGTTACGGGTAACCGGTGGACCCGTGCCCTCCCGTCTCGTGCATTGTCTTCCATCGGTTACGGGTAACCGGTGGACCCGTGCCCTCCCGTCTCGTGCATTGTCTTCCATCGGTTACGGGTAACCGATGGACCCGTGCCCTCCCGTCTCGTGCATTGTCTTCCATCGGTTACGGGTAACCGATGGACCCGTGCCCTCCCGTCTTGTGCATTGTCTTCCATCGGTTACGGGTAACCGGTGGACCCGTGCCCTCCCGTCTCGTGCATTGTCTTCCATCGGTTACGGGTAACCGATGGACCCGTGCCCTCCCGTCTCGTGCATTGTCTTCCATCGGTTACAGGTAACCGATGGACCCGTGCCCTCCCGTCTCGTGCATTGTCTTCCATCGGTTACGGGTAACCGGTGGACCCGTGCCCTCCCGTCTCGTGCATTGTCTTCCATCGGTTACGGGTAACCGGTGGACCCGTGCCCTCCCGTCTCGTGCATTGTCTTCCATCGGTTACGGGTAACCGGTGGACCCGTGCCCTCCCGTCTCGTGCATTGTCTTCCATCGGTTACGGGTAACCGATGGACCCGTGCCCTCCCGTCTCGTGCATTGTCTTCCATCGGTTACGGGTAACCGGTGGACCCGTGCCCTCCCGTCTCGTGCATTGTCTTCCATCGGTTACGGGTAACTGGTGGACCCGTGCCCTCCCGTCTCGTGCATTGTCTTCCATCGGTTACGGGTAACCGGTGGACCCGTGCCCTCCCGTCTCGTGCATTGTCTTCACTCGCTGGCTGGAGGTAATCCTCTGGGAGCTCTTTTGTTGCTGCAGGGGCTGCAGGTGCGGGGGGGGGGGGGAGGGGTGAGGGGGAGGAGGAAGGGGGGGGGAAGGTGTGGGAAGAGGGGTTTGACAAGAAGGGAGGAGGACCTATGTCACATGTGATGGCGGATGGTTAAGTTATGGCGAGCCAGGGCAAACCGGGGAAGGTCGTTGACAAGAAAGGTCGCATATGCGTCATTTGTTGAGACACGTGTCATTTGTCTCGGCGCCATACCATACCAGTGAGGAAGAAGGTGTCATGGGAGTCTCGAGCAGGGTGCTGCTGTGGCTGGAAGAGCTGTGAGGCGTGTGGTAACATGGTTACATCAGCATACCAGTGAGGAAAGGGGGGTTGCTTGTTGCTTACCAGTGAGGAAGAAGGTGTCGTGGGAGTCTCGAGCAGGGTGCTGCTGTGGCTGGAAGAGCGCGTCGAAGTTCCAGAAGCTGCTCTCCACGAAGTTGTTGGTCGGCATCTCTTGGAAGCTAGCGGGGGAAAAGGAGAGGAAGTGGAAAAAAGGGAATGGTAATGTGTTGCTTGGGTTCAGATCTCCGAGGTTGGCGGATGGAACGGAGTCACGTTCAAATGTTCGTGACGTGACACAAGGGTACGCAGAATCGAAAAAGCAGAGATATGAGGATTCGAGGAGGGGATACGAGGATACGAAGATCCAGGTTCTAGGGTGTAGGAACGAGGCACTGCAATGCAAGTAACACCATTTTTGGAGCTACCTGACACCATCCCGTCTTCTTTCTTTCTTTCTTTCTTTATTTTGAACCACTCACCCCATTTCAAGGAAGATCTTCCGAAACTGGGCCCGAACCTTCAGCAGCGGGTGCAGGTGCCCCCCTTCCGTGGGCAGACCCAGGGCGTTGAAGTTGTACGGCTTGAACTCCTCAGACTTCCACGCGCCACTGGAAGGAAAGAAAGGAGGGCGTGAAAGCAAAGGAGGGACGAAGGAAGCTGTGTGAGGGGAGCAGTGCAGGTGGCCCCCGCCAGGGCGTTGAAGCTGTAGCTTGAACTCCTCAGTCTTCCACGCGCCACTGGAAGGGAACGGAAAGAAGGGAAAGGTAAAGGTACGTTATTGAGATGTGTAACCACCTCGCACATGCAAGCTCTAAAGATACAGTATAGAACCGCTCTTCACCTCTCCGCACCGCATCACGCACCTCTGGATCATCTCCCTGGTGAGGTCGGTGGCGGCCTTTTTCTTCTCCAGGGCGAACTTCGCCCCTTTGCCCAGCAGGTAGGTCCGCCACGTGCTGGGCGCCACCAGCTTGCGCTTCTTGTGGAGGTAGTCCAGGTCGGGGGTGGGTAGGGTCTGGGGGAAGGAGGGACGGGGGTTGAGGGAAGAGGGAAGGCGGCGACAAGAGAGTGTTGAGAAGAGAAGCCCTCAACCGGTACGCGCGCCACGCCACGTGCTAGGGGGCACCAGCTTGAGCTTCCTGTGGAGGTAGTCCAGGTCGGAGGTTGGTAGGGTCTGGGGGAAGGAGGGACGGGGGTTGAGGGAAGAGGGAAGGCGGCGACAACAGAGTGCTGCGAAGAGAAGCCCCTTGCTCAGCCGGTACGTGCACCACGCCACGTGCTGGGCGCCACCAGCTTGCGCTTCTTGTGGAGGTAGTCCAGGTCGGGGGTGGGTAGGGTCTGGGGGAAGGAGGGACGGGGGTTGAGGGAAGAGGGAAGGCGGCGACAAGAGAGTGTTGAGAAGAGAAGCCCTCAACCGGTACGCGCGCCACGCCACGTGCTAGGGGGCACCAGCTTGAGCTTCCTGTGGAGGTAGTCCAGGTCGGAGGTTGGTAGGGTCTGGGGGAAGGAGGGACGGGGGTTGAGGGAAGAGGGAAGGCGGCGACAACAGAGTGCTGCGAAGAGAAGCCCCTTGCTCAGCCGGTACGTGCACCACGCCACGTGCTGGGCGCCACCAGCTTGCGCTTCTTGTAGAGGTAGTCCAGGTCGGGGGTGGGTAGGGTCTGGGGGGAAGGGGGAAGGAGAGAAGAGTGAAGGGGATGGTAGAGTTGTGAGAATATAAGCGCCACGTGCTAGGCGCCACCAGCTTGCTTGCGCTTCTCGTGCAGAGAGTCCAGATCCGCAGTGAGTAGTGCCTCGGGAGGAGAGAAGAGTGGAGGCGATGGGGGAGCATTGGGACCTCAGTGGGGTGTCACCACACCAGCGTGCGCTTCTTGTGCAGATAGCCCACATGTGGTGCGGCTAGGGTTTGCGGGAGTGCTGCAGGGAAGAAAGACCGGAATCAGCGGAATTAGCTGCATCGTTCTTCGCATGTACATCGTACTAGCCACATTGCCCATTCCTGACTCCACTGCCTGCTCGTTATCATCCCCTCGCTTCTGTCACATCCCTCGCTACTGTCCCAGTCGCATTCGCCTTGCAATCGATCCACTCCTCGCTCGCCTTCCCTCACCTCTCCTTTGCTCAGGCTCGTCAGCAGCCGCTGCACTTTATCCTCGATAGAAGCCACTTTTCGCTGAACCGTGGGTCCCCCTTCGCCCTTGCTTATAGCGAGCCACTTATTCGCCATCGCCTGCTTCATCCCGATATCCGCCACCGCGCCGAGGGATTTCTTCAAACCGTCCAATGGGATGCCGCCATCTGGCACGGCGTTGAACACCTGCGCTTCGGGCGATCCCGAATCGAGGTACCCCTTCGCCTCGTCTGTGAGGGTCCATGATTGGTGCTCGATCTCCTGTTATAGGAACGGGGGTTACAGGAACAGTCGTTCAGAAGAGCGATCAACGACGCACGCAAGTATGGGGAGCAACTTTAGCAGAACTGGAAGTTCCTTAGGAGATGCCTCAAAGCCGCGTATGCTATCAGAACAATGCGAACTGAGATGAACGAGTTGTCAAGTAACGGAGCGGAATGAGTCACCTAAAGTCGCCTAAAGTCGCCTAAAGTCGCCTAAAGTCGCCTAAAGTCGCCAAAGTCGGTAAACTCGACGATCCTCAGAAGTGATCAATCAGAGTCGCCTCAGCACGATCGGCCATATAGAAGAACCTCTGAGACGATCAATCAGCGTTGCCCCGTATAGACACAATCAATCACGCGAACCTCGATCACCCTTATAGACGAACCTCTGCGACGATCATCTCGTACGCGAGGAGGCTCTTAATGGTTCCGACCAGCGCGGCGTGATCCACGCCGGCACTCGCGGCCCAGTCACCAGAGTCTTTAATCTCCCCGGCCTCGTTCAGCGCCCGCAGGAGCCGCTCCTCCACGCCCTCCATCGCGCTATAGCGAGGATGGTACTACAACGAAATGCGACCAATGAAAACACGTGGCGGATCGGAGCGACGGGGTGACGCGTGGCGTGGTCAGGCAACCGGGATTTGCTCTCTAATCCCTAGTGAGAAAGGTACGGTCTGGTGGGCTGAAGGCCAACAAGAATCGACAGAGGGACAAGCAGCCCAAACCAAACTCCCCCGGCAATCTCGATGCTGGGGCTTTGTTCTTATAATGGCGAAAGATTTGTGTGACTGATCAAATTCCGTGGGCTTTCATCGGTATGGGTAATGTTAAGAGATGTGAAGTGTATTAGAGGTATCGTTCGGATTTTACCCAGAATAAGGATTTCTGCCCCTTCACACGCAACCAACCCCCCTGATCAATCCGGCCTACCGCGCATGCTCTAGTTTTTTTTTTTCGCGTCTGCTCTGCATTCCTCCCAGAATAGTGCCCCTGTTCGTCTCTTTGTCTCACCAATGCAGTATCGCGAATCGCGATAGGACCGTACACTCAGTCTACTCCTGTATTTCGATTCGACGTGCCTGCTCCTGTGCCGATTGTCGAGTTGTGCGACCGACCATTTTCGCAATGGCGACTCTTGCCGGCCCTTTGCGAAGCTCGCGAATCCTACGAAGCTTGTCAGAAAGCCATCGCCTGAATGCGGTTACCGCAACTCACGGGAATTCTAGTCTCGGATTTCAGGCTTGGACAGGCTTTCAGTGTATACAAGCATCCTCTTTGTTAGCTTCCCCCATAAGTCTACAGGATTCGCGAAATCGTCGATTTCAGGAAAGAGGTTACATAAATCCGGTTCATTGGGCTCGTCCCAGGGTCAGACCAGGAATACCCAGGGCATTCATACGCGCCTTAGACACGGCCCGGGTTTCCATACAAGAGCGTTCTTCTGGCAACGGGGTTCCGAGGGGGAGAAGGATAAAGCAGCTGACGTTGATAAGGAGGCGGAGGAGGCGGAAAAGGCGCGGAAGGAGAGAGAGGAGAAGGAGAAGGAGGAGGAGGAGAGGAGGAATAAGCTGGTCATGAGTATTTTCATCGACTTGCTGGGGTGCGTCCGCTGCTCCCTCTGCTCCTCCTGTGCTCTTCCCATATTGACACGATGTGCTTTCCTCCCTTTCTCTCCCCCTCGCCTCTGTGTTCACCTCTTCGCTTGGACGCATTCCCCCGTCTCCCGTTCTCTCCCCCCTCACCTCTCCCCCCCACCTCTCCCCCTCGCCTCTCCCTTTCTCTCCCTCTGGCCTCTCCCAGGCTGTTGGCCAGCCGGCATCTCGTCCCGTTAGACTACATCTGGATTCCAGCCTCAGCCTTCATCATTCAGGTGCTGTCAACAGACACTCAGGTGCTGTCAACAGACACTCAGGTGCTGTCTACCAACACTCAGGTGCTGTCAACAGACACTCAGGCCCCCCAACCCCATACCCCCCCTCTTTTACTCCCCCTCCCCACTCCCTGCCTTAATCACTTCAGAGATTATACCGTGCGCCTCTGCTCTCCAGTGTAGGCTTTGTGGAGCAGGCTATACCCGGCATTGAGTTTATCCCCACTGCTACACTAGGTGAGTCACACCACACTGCTCAGGTTGTAGCCCGTAGCACATGGGTCACATGGGTCACACGGGGCACAGGGGGCACATGGGACACATGGGGCATACGGGGCACAATTCACCGCTCACATTGAGAGACTGATGGTGTTGTGGCTCCAACATCATCCTTCTGTACGATGATGATTCAGTTCTCCTTCGTGGGCTTAACTCTATCCTTCCCCCCCCCCCCTCCCCTCCCCTCTCCCCCCAGGCTGGATGCTGGAGACCTACCCTGAGCTGCGGAAAATCACAAAAGCGCTGCCGCTGATGGGCCGACTCAGTAGCAGGTTCAAGAAATGATGGTTCAGATTTTTATGATTCTTATTGAAAGACTTTGCTGCAGTGTAGCTAAATATATAAGTTTAGGAACAGCTGTGAACAGGTTCTTTGCGAAGAGTCAACATCATTTCTAGAGAGGCATTCTACAGAAAGCCCAACAGCCATGCATTACGCAGGCTCAGGCAAATCACAGCAGATAAGTTTATAACCTCGAATCAGACTACTTATGTATGAGAAATGAAATGGAAGAATCCAAGGCTTTCATGACCTGCTGTACTGTTATTGGACCATCGCACTACTGCTGATGTGGTAACCAATTTCCACCATTCACATCAGATCCACCCAGAAAAATGAGCGACCGATGCCACCATTAGCGTCACCACCACTAGCACAATGTAGCGGCAGCAACAGCCTAGGAGCTGAGCTCCTTGGCGAGCTTCTCAGCCTTAGCCACCACCTCCTCGATGCCGCCCACCATGTAGAACGCCTGCTCTGGCAGATCGTCGTACTTGCCGTCCAACACACCCTGGGAAGGGGTTGAAGAGTGGGGAGAGGGGTAAGGGGACATGGGATGACGGGTGCAGGGCAAGCAGCAGCCCAACCTCCTCGATGCCTCCCACCATGTAGAACGCCTACTCTGGCAGATCGTCGTACTTGCCGGCACACCCTGATTAGTCAAAGGGGGAGAAGGGGAGTGTGGGGGGGGGAGAGGCAGGGATGAGTGATACAGGAGGACACAAGCTGCAGCCTGATCTATGATCCCTCGGCCACGTGGAGGGGCTGGCTCAGGAAGCGGTGAATCTTGCTGCAGTCAGTTCCTCCCATGTTCCATGCTCACACAAGGCAATGGGGCAAGCAAGGCGGCACTTCTCTTACCTGGAAGCTGGTGATGCTCTCCTTCACATCCACGTATTTGCCTGGGGAGCCCGTGAAGACCTCGGCCACGTGGAAGGGCTGGCTCAGGAAGCGCTGAATCTTGCGCGCGCGGGCCACCACGAGCTTGTCATCCTCACTGAGCTCGTCCATTCCCAGAATGGCAATGATGTCCTGAAATGGAAAGGAGAAGGGAGAAAAGGGGGGGGTGAGGAGGAGATAGCGGTAAAGGTGGCACGGCACTGGCCACCACGAGCTGTCATCCTCACTGAGCTCGCCCATGCCAAGAATGGCAATGATGTCCTGAAATGGAAAGGAGAGGGCAGAAAGGGGAGGGTATGGGGAGGAAAGGGAGGGAGGCGTAAGGAAGAGATGAGAGCATGCGGACGGAAACTCTGCACATGCAATAAGCAGCAAGCAAGATGTGATTATATCAGGCAACCGGTAAGCACAAATCCTGTCCTAATAGTTATCATCTCCTCTCACCTGCAGGTTATCCTGGAGAACCTTCTGCACGCCACGCGCACAGTTGTGATACTCCAAGCCCAATATGGAGGGGGAGAGCATGCAGCAGCAGAGCATGCAGCAGCAGAGCATGCGGCCGCAGAGCATGCAGCAGCAGAGCATGCGGCAGCACAGCTTCCTACCGCTCTCGTTACAGGCACCAACAATCCTCTCACCTGGAGTTTCTTGTAATCCTGGAGAACCTTCTGCACGCCACGAGCACAGTTGTGGTGCTCCAAGCCCAGGATTGGGGGAGAAAGCATGCAGCAGCACAGCTTCTCACTGCTCTCGTTACAAGCACGCATACATACATGTGGCAACAACAATCGTCTCACCTGGAGGTTCTTGTAGTCCTGCAGCACCTTCTGCACGCCACGAGCGCAGTTGTAATGCTCCAAGCCCAGGATGGAGGGGGAGAGCATGCGAGACGAGGAGTCGAGGGGATCCACGGCCGGGTAGATACCCAACTCGGAGATCTGCGAGATGATTGGAGTGGGAGGAAAGAGCGAGACGAGGAGATGTTTAGTGCCCCCAAGCCCAGGATGGAGGGGGAGAGCATGCGAGACGAGGAGTCGAGGGGATCCACGGCCGGGTAGATACCCAACTCGGAGATCTGCAAGGGTGGGGTTGGGCAGGTGAGAGGGGTTTAAGGGTGCAAGGGAAGGAGAGAGACGAGGAAGGAGGATGAGGATGGAGGGGGAGAGCATGCGAGAAGAAGTCGAGGGGGTCGACGGCCGGGTAGATACCTGACTCAGAGATCAAATCACTTCGAAGAAATGCCCCCTTACCTGGCGCGACAGCACAGTGGAAGCATGCAGATGCGCAAATGTTACAGCCGGGGCAGGGTCCGTCAGATCATCAGGGGTCACGTAGATGGCATTTGCCAACCTGATAGAGCCCTTCTTGGACCCTTCTTGACCCCTTCTTCCAAGTCCCCCCCGGCATACCAAAGAAGCCTACCTGGCGATTCAAGATGTGGTGGCAGGGGCAGGATCAGTCAGATCGTCAGCGGTCACATAAATCGCATGTGCCGACGTGATGGAGCCCTTTCTGAACCCTCCCTGGACCCTTTCTGAACCCTTCCTGGACCCTTCCTGGACCCTTCCTGGACCCTTCCTGGACCCTTCTTGGGCCTCTCTTTGCCCCTCCTTCAACCCGCTCCTCCACCCCTTATTCCAAAAACCCCCCTGGCGTACCACGCCAGAGAAACCCGCTCTTCCGCCCCTTATTCCCAAGACCCCCATGGGGTACTAGAGAAAGCCCCCTACCTAGCGAGACAGCACAGTGGTGGCGTCGAGATGGGCGAAGGTAGTAGCAGGAGCCGGATCAGTCAAGTCATCAGCAGGCATGTAGACGGCCTGCTCCGACGTGATGCACCCCTTCTCGGGACTCTCTAAGGCCATTTTGCCCTCTTTCCAGCGGGAGGCAAAACCCTAACTCTCTAAGGCAAAGCCCTACCTGGCGCGACAGCACAGTGGTGGCGTCAAGATGCGCAAACGTGGTGGCAGGAGCGGGATCAGTGAGATCGTCAGCGGGCACGTAGATGGCCTGCACCGACGTGATGGAGCCCTTCTTGGTGGTCGTGATTCGCTCCTGCAGCCCTCCCAGATCCGTGGCGAGAGTGGGCTGGTACCCCACAGCTGAGGGAATGCGACCCAGCAGCGCAGACACCTCGGAGTTGGCCTGCCAGAAAGGAGGATGAGGGGGGAGAGAGAAGGATGGTTGAGGGACGGGAGTGATTCGCTCCTGCAGCCCTCCCAAATCCGTGGCCAGGTTGGGCTGGTAACCGACAGCAGAGGGGATGCGACCCAGCAGAGCAGACACCTCGGAGTTGGCCTGCAATGTGTGTATTGCACGGGGTGAAAAGAAAAGACGGGGCAAGCGAGTGAGAAGACGACCAGCACCGACGTGATGGACGGTGGACCCCTTCTTGGTGGTAAGGGGAAAGTGTGGGGAAGAGGGGGGAAGTGGGGAGGAGTGGGCCCAGGCGGGGATGGCGGACCCAAACAAGAAAGGCTTGGAAAGTGACTCGAAACACTTCCCATCAGCGCTCAACTCACACCTTTGGGCGGCCCCCTTCACCCTGAGCCTACCTGCGTGAACCTGAAGATGTTATCCACCAAGAAGAGCACGTCCTGCCCCTCGTAGTCGCGGAAGCGCCGTTGGCCACGTGATGCCCGCGCATCAGCCCCAGTAAATGACCCAGTCACTCCCAGCCATACCCTCAACACTCGGAGCCTACCTGCGTGAACCTGAAGATGTTATCCACCAAGAAGAGCACGTCCTGGCCCTCGTAATCGCGGAAGTGTTCCGCCACCGTCAGCCCTGTCACTCCCACCCATCAGCCCTAGTAAATAACCCATTCGCACCGGACTAAACTGCTCATTCCTACCTCGTAGTCGCGGAAGTGCTCCGCCACCGTCAGCCCCGTCAGCCCCACGCCTGGCTGCCTCACCCTCTCGTTCCCACCACACCTGTCCGCCCGACCCCTGTCAGTCAGCCCCGGTAGCCTCAAGGGGGCGCGCGTCAGAGCCACCCATACGCCCCACCCGTCAGTCCCTCACACGCGCACACGCACCATCGCCCCCTCAACAATCGGCGCGCACCTGCGTGAACCTGAAGATGTTGTCGACGAAGAAGAGCACGTCCTGCCCCTCGTAGTCGCGGAAGTGCTCCGCCACCGTCAGCCCCGTCAGCCCCACGCGCGCGCGCGCACCGGGGGGCTCGTTCATCTGCCCGTACACCAGCGCGCACTTGCTCTCCAGCTGATGGCGGAAGCAAGGGGGGGCGGAAGAGGAGGCGGGGGGGGGGGGGGAGCAGGAGGCGTTAGGGTTGTAGTAGCAGCATCGCCAGGGGGCTCCTTCATCTGCCCGTACACCAGCGCGCACTTGCTCTCCAGCTGATGGCGGAAGCAAGGGGGGGCGGAAGAGGAGGCGGGGGGGGGGGGAGCAGGAGGCGTTAGGGTTGTAGTAGCAGCATCGCCAGGGGGCTCCTTCATCTGCCCGTACACCAGCGCGCACTTGCTCTCCAGCTGGGGGATGGCGGAGAGGGGACGCATGGAGAGAGGGGGGGGGGGGGGGGGAAATGGGGGAGCGGAAGAGCAGTAGGGGGCTCGTGCATCTGCCCGTACACCAGCGCGCAGCACTCGAGCTGAAGGTGGGGAAGCGCCGGGGGGGTGGGAAATGGAGTATCGGCCGGCTGTACTAGAGTCTCGCGGGAGGAGAGAGAACGAGGACAAGAGAACAACAGAAAGAGGTCCAGGAGGGGAAGGCGGAACTAGGGAAGGTAGTAAGGGCGCACCTGCTTGTCGCCCAGCTTGATGACGCCCGACTCAGTCATCCCCTTGTACAGATCGTTGACCGCTCGAGTGCGCGGGAAAGCAATAGGCAAGGGAACAAACGGGAGTTCACGAGAGCTACCTGCGGCTAATGAGAGCTCACCTGCTTGTCGCCCAGCTTGATGACGCCCGACTCAATCATCTCCTTGTACAGGTCGTTGCCCTCTCGGGTGCGCTCCCCCACTCCGGCGAACACAGAGAAACCACCTGCGGGCGCCAAGAGGCGGCAGAGAGCACACGAAAAACAGGAAAACACAGGAGAAACACGGGGACACGTGTCATCTCCTTGTACCGATCGTTACCCCCTCGGGTGCGCTCCCCCACGCCGGCGAACACAGAGAAACCACCTGCAGCTTGCCAAAAGGAGGCAGACAGCACACGGAAACCAGGAAAACCACGGGGAAACACCGGGACACGTGTCATCCCCTTGTACCGATCGTTACCCTCTCGGAAGCGCTGCGATCTCGGCAAAAGAGATGGTGTGTAATGAGTCGATTTCTGGGTCGACTCAAAAATCGACTCATTACACACGGCAAAAGAGATGGGGAATGCAGACGAAGCAGGGGGAAACGTGTGGTGCTGATGAGAAGACTAACCATAAGCCTTAGCAATGTTGTTGACCAGTTCCACAACGAGCACCGTCTCGCCCACTCCTGCTTACCACAGTGAAAACACCTCCTCATGCAATGAACGATTCAAGAGGTACACTGACCATGAGCCTTGGCGATGTTGTTGATGAGCTCCATAACGAGCACCGTCTTGCCCACTCCTTCTTCCCACAGCCGAACACCTCCCCATCCAATGTACGCCTCAAGAGGCAAACTCACCATGCGCCTTAGCAATGTTGTTGATGAGCTCCATAATGAGCACCGTCTTGCCCACTCCTGCTCCGCCGAACAGACCGATCTTGCCTCCCCTCTGGTACGGCGCCAGCAGATCCACGACCTGTCGACGGAGATGGGGAAGGGGGGCGAGGGTGAAAGGGGGGGAGGGAACGGAGGGAGGGACGTATCAGAACCGATCTCGCCTCCCCTCTGGTACGGCGCCAGCAGATCGACCGCAGATTCACAGCGCAATGGCGGGGGAGAACGGAGCGTACCAGATGCCGTGCCAGTGCAATAGGGGGGGGGGGAAACGGGGCGGAAAAGAACGGCCGGGGGAATGGATCGCTTAGCATCGATCTTGAGTCCCCTCTTGCAGAGAAGTAGAATAATTCCAGCCTCCCTGGCACGGCATCGGTTACGCGCCAGCAAATCCTCGACCTAGGAAGATTCTCGTTTCCCTAGGATATAAAAAGCTACGGTTGAAACCCCGTCTAGAACCAAATCCAGAACAACTCGACGCTCCCTGTAAGCGCGTGGCGAAAGCTGGAAAATCACGAGCCGACGAAAGCAATCCTCAATCCACGGTAACGCGAACCCATCGGCCTCCATTTAATCCAATTTCAAGGAGCCTGAAACGTCTCGGCCTATCGGCCTCACATGTCGGCGTCAGCAGAGAATTGGACGGCACCAGGTCAGCTATCGAGTCGACTCAACAGCGATTGGTGGAGACATCGACGACCACATCCGCGGATCCACCGACGCTGGTTAACGGTTGCCGACGGACAGAGAAACTGACGCCTGCTACGCGTCCAGCGGGGCTCGAACTCGGGTGCTTCCTATTCGCGCTGCAACACGCTGATCGAGCCTCTCCTAGCCAGCTAACAGCTAGCTCCTAGATCCGCTGATCTTGCCGGCTACTTAGACCTAAATATGCTGCCGGCTCCACACCCTTGATCTGAAGACGCTGGAAGGTCCCTAGATCTGCATCGGCTGACGGCTCGCTAGAATACTTCCGCTGGTGCCTCCGCAGCTCAAGATACGGGACGCGATCTGATCTCGATCTGGATCAACGGCCAGGATGATACGCGTCTATGCTGCACTCAGCCGAGCATTAAAAAGACCGGATGTTGCTGATACTCTTCTCAAGAAGCCCTTCTGCCCCCGCTGAGGTGTACCTTGATACCGGTCTCGAGAATCTCCTGCTCGGTGCTCTGATCGGTGAAGAGCGGTGCCTCGCGATGGATAGGCAGGCTGTGGGGTGACTCTGTGGAAGCGGGAAATAAAAAAATGAAGGAAGGAAAACGAAACGGAAACGGGAAAATAAAAGAGAGAAAAGGTCAGAGAAAACAGAGAAAGATGGGAGTACGGATATTGGACCAACAGAGTTTGGCGTTGCGAGTGAAGGAGGCGAAACAGCATAACACAGTGGACCCTAGGAGATCACAAAACAACTTGCCAAGACTTCAGACCACGGCACAGGGACGGATCAGACGTACCGAGAGGGCCCTTCTCGTCGATGGGCTCGCCGATGACGTTCATGATGCGACCGAGAGTCGCGCGACCCACGGGGATCTGCAGCACGGGGAAGAACGACCGGATGACGAGGCGACGAGACCGGGGGTATGAGAGGGTTGGGGACGGAAGAGGAAGGACGAGGGACAGCAGAAGAAAGGTAGGATCCGCCACGCGAAAGGGCGACAGGAAACGTGAAGAGACAGAAAATCCGCGACGGATGCCGGCGCGTTTCTTGCGTCGGAAACGTAAAGAGGAAACTCCGGAGGAAAGTTAGGTAACAAATCTAGGTCTGGTTCGTTCCAGGTCAAGCTTCGATCTGTCGAAAAAACGAAAGATCGCCAGACAAGAGTCTCTTTCCTGAGTCTCTCTCTCTCAAGATCGATGAAAAGCAATGCGCGCGATCAAGAGCACAGTCACGGATCTTTCACCCGCTCGTGCTGGAAAAGCGCAAGATCTACGTTTGAGTCGACTCAAAGGCGAGCAGCAAGATCCACGCACCGTGAAAGCGATCCGGTGTCGAGCACGTGCAGCCCGCGCACGAGCCCAACAGAGTAAATCTCCAGAAACACTTTCCAAGACCGATCTAACCCTAACCGCACGACCAAGACCACAGCCACGAAAAAAGCAGCAAGATCTATCACTAGATCTATCACTAGATCTACGGACCGTGATAGGAGATCCGGTGTTGAGCACGTGCTGGCCGCGCACGAGCCCGTCAGTAGAATCCATGGCGATCGTACGGACGGTGTTCTCCCCCAGATGCTGCGCCACCTCTAGAACCACGCGGATCGAGTGCCCCTGCACCTCCAGCGCCGTCAGAATAGGCGGCAGGCCCTTGTCGAACTTAACGTCCACGACGGCTCCGATAACGGTCGCGATGTGCCCAATGCTGCCTGCGCCGGTAAAGTCCTCCGGGGTGGTTTCCGCAACGGCGGCGGCTTCCGCGGCGAATGAGCGGACGGGGACATGGCGGCCGGTGGTTCCCTGGTTTACGAGCGAGCTTCCGCGGAGGAGGGCGTTTGCGATGGCGGGAGAGCGGGAGGCGGGGGTGGAGGCGGCGGAGGAAAAGAAGCGGTTGGCGGTGGTTCCGTACTTAGTCGGTTGGGAGCGGCGGGAAGCGGTGCGGAGAGCCGCGAGGAGCGCTCGTCTGGAAGCCATGGTGGGACGCCGGACAGCGACCTACTGAAAAGACAGAAGCCGCAAATGACGATGAAAATAAGTCTAGGAGGTCATCTCAATACCTAACTCTCAGGCAACAGTGGCGGAAGCGGTGGGGGGAGAGGGAGGCTTGGCGGGGTGCGGGAAGGAGAGGGATGGGGAGAAGGGGAAGGCTCGGGGGAAGGTGTTGAGAGGAAAGGGGAGTGAGGGCGACAAAGGTAGAGAACATACGGTTTGGTAATCTCAAAAATGGTGCAAAGCGTTTTGGGTGGAGCAGCCGTGAACATGGTTCGGGAAAATTAGGCAAGGCGGGAAGGTGAAGGCATGGTGCTGGTTCAAGGTGATTAGAACGGGGGGGACAGGGAGCGAAGGCGCTGGTGGAAACTTGTGATTGGGCTCGTGGACCACATGCATCCATACCACCATAGATGTTGGAAAGGAATAACGGCTTATACACCATGACATAAGTACACAACACACTAAACGTTGCTTCATGCAATAAGGTCTAGTGGTGTGTTAGTCACGATACCCTGCAATTAAGTAGCACTGTGCTGTTATCAGCAATCTAGGTTTCCGTTGGCTGCCAAATGGCAGTAACTTGATAGGTGTACCATTTGTATGAACCTTCTTTGTGTGTTAGAGTCTTGAAAGCAAAATGAACATCTACAGCTAGTGTCATACTCTCCTACCACCTGATTCAGCCTTGTGTTTCCACCTACACATCGCTATCCTCTTTATTGTCGTCTTGAGACAAGTCGCTACCTTCCTCCTGCCGATTCTCCAATCTAGACGTACGTTTCTCATTGCTGCCGCCGCCGCTGCTACTTCTCCTGCTACCACTTCCTCCCACTACACTCCCATTCATCCCCACCCCCCCAACCTCCCCTAGTGTCTTAACCACCGGCCCTCCCAAGGCCTCCTGCTTATATCTCACCCTCATTCTCGCCAGCCTCTCCTTCTTCCTCCTCTCCTTCTGCCCCTTCTGCCACAACTTCAGCATCCGATCCCTCTCGATCGATCCTGACCATTGAACCTCCCCCAGGTGCGGCCACAGCCACCGCCGCCCGTTGATCGCGTGGGCGGGGTCGTCCGTCTCTTCCGCTCGTTCCTCCTCCATGGCTTTAAGTACCGGGCGAGAAAACCACTGGAACCAGGCGCGGCGGGAGCGGGACTTAGAGCGGGTGGGAACCGGGTGTTGCTCTTTAAGCGCGCCGGTGTGGGGATTTAAGAGAAGCATCTTCTTTCGGCTGTGGTACGCCCACACATTCACCAGCCTGTCGAGCAGGCGGCAGTAGCAGTGCCTCTCCTGGTGGGAACAGTGTGGCGTGTCAGTGGTGGGGAATAACAAGAAGAAAAACAAGCGGTTTGGCTGCGGTAAGCCTACACGCTCACGAGCTTGACGGAATACAGCACTAGCAGTGCCTCTCCTGATGGGAACAGTGGGGCGTGTTAGTGGTGGGGAACCTTATTAGCAGGATTCAGAAGCAGCATCTCCTTTCTGCTGCGGTATGCCCACATGTTCACTAGCCTGTCCAGCAGGCGGCAGTAGCAATGCCTCTCTTGTTGAAAATGAGAATTCAGGCATCAGGATTGGGATAGAGAGGAATGCTAAGATCATAGCTACACATCCCTCTCTTTAGACTGTTATGTCTACAGTATGACTGGTTATCCTCAACAGCTGAAATTCGTGCACTTAAATGGGTCAGCTTGGATGGAGTTACGGGCGGACATACCTCTGAGTGGCGGACATACCTCTGAGTGGCGGACATACCTCTGAGTGGCGGACATACCTCTGAGTGGCGGACATACCTCTGAGTGGCGGACATACCTCTGAGTGGCGGACATACCTCTGAGTGGCGGACATACCTCTGAGTGGCGGACATACCTCTGAGTGGCGGACATACCTCTGAGTGGCGGACATACCTCTGAGTGGCTTTGAGCGAGGGGGCATATGCCGTGGGCTGCATGCCTGTGGTAGAACTTCACATCAAGAGCATCGACGAACATGCTGTTTGGGGCACGATGGAAGGTAAGGGGAGGAGGGCAAAGGTGGGAAGTGCCATGAGCGATATGGGATGAGGGAGCGAGCAACATGGCCCACGCATGCGTGACCTTGCCTACTCCGTTCTTCTTGCCGCTCACAACCTTTCCTCACCGTGTAAAGAGCATGAATCTCACAAAGTTATGGACCGCATGGCCCACGCATGCATGTAAATCTGCACCCAACTGCCCCCTCCCTTGCCTACTCCCATTCCCCTTGTCGCTCACAACCCCTCCTCACCGTGCAAAGAGCATGAATTCCACGAAGTTATGGGACAGCATGGCCCATGCATGCTAGGCGCATCCCCCTACCCACGTACTTGACATCCTCCCTCCCCCCCTCCCCTCTTTCCTCTCCCCTCTTCCCTCTCCCATCTCCCCACACCCCTCGCACCCCCCCCACTCCCCCCAACCCCTCCTCACCGCGCAAACAGCATGAACTCCACAAAGTTATGGGACGGCATCGCCCACGCATGCATGGCGGACCAGGTGCCCCCGCCAGCTGGCATGGGCGGCAGAGTGGTCCAGTTGGACGGTAGCGTGTATACCAGCCGCATGGCCTCGAGAAACGCAGCTCTGCATGAGACGGGGGATAGCAGGAAAAAGTGAGGGGAGTCAGGGAAGCAAGGGAAGAGAGGTTTCCGCCACCAGGCATGGGAGGGAGAGTGGTCCCGTTGGACGGCAGCGTGTATACCAGCCACATGGCCTCAAGGAAAGCAGCTCTGCATGAGTTGGGGGATAGCGGGAAGAAGTGAGGGGAGTCAGGGATGCAAGGGAAGAGAGGTTTCCGCCAGCTGGCATGGGCGGGAGAGTGGTCCAGTTGGAGGACAGGGTGTATACCGGCCTCATGGCCTCGAGAAACGCAGCTCTGGACAGGAGGGAGGGAGGGAGGACGAGAAGGAGTGGCGACACGTCAAGGAGTGAGAGGGGCATGTAAGCATGCACGCATGCATGGCAGACCAGGTGCCCCCTCCAGCAGGCGTGAGCGGCAGAGTGGTCCAGCTGGAAGGCAGGCTGTATACCAGCCTCATGGCCTCGAGGAAAGCAGCCCTGGACAGGGCGTGCAAGGGAAGGAACGAGAGAGGGGCATGTGAGCATGCACGCAGGCATGGCAGACCAGGTGCCCGCGCCAGCAGGCGTGGGCGGCAGAGTGGTCCAGTTGGACGGCAGGCTGTATACCAGCCTCATGGGCTCGAGGAAAGCAACTCTGATGGAGAGGAGCAGAGGAGAGAAGTAGCTAGGGCTGTCATGCTTGCTTGTCTACCGCCCTACTATACATGCTATGATGTTCTCTGCTTGCCTATTAATACACAGACCACTCGAGGAGGGACGGAGGAGAGGGAGAAGGGGAATATACGCAGACTATCAGCAGCAGGGAGAGGGCATGTTGAATAGGTCCTAAAAGTCTAAGAAGTCACCTCGAGGGGCATCAGCAGCACCACCTCACCATCAGCAGCACCACGGTTCTTCACCCTCACCTGCAGTTGCCCCGATTCATCATGTCGCACGTCGTCCAGAAATCATCCCCTGCTCTCTCCTCCAGTCCACCCACACGGCCCTTCCCCTCTCCTCCCCCCTTCTCCCCTCCTCCATCCCCCTTCTCTCCCCCTCCTCCCCCTCCCTCCCCTCCGCCTCCCCCTCCGCCCCCTCCCCCCACCTTCTCCCCATCCTCCCCCAACGCCCCACTCCTCGGCTCCCGATGAATCTCCACCTGGTCTACAGTACTCACCCAGTACACTACCACATCCGATAAAGTCCCCCCCTCTATAGCCCCAACGAGCGCCTTCTCCGCAGCACCACTGAGCCCCACTCGCTCCGCCCGTACCCTCCAGGGTTGAAAGCCAATCCATGGGTTTCTGTGCACTCTATCTATGCGGTAGTTAATCGACAGCATGGCTGCAAAGTCGCAGAGCACGTCACGGTAGTAGGGGGACGAGAGCATGGGCAGCCGCGCCCACGCGTTCACGTCGTCATACAGGTTGGGGCGGCGGGAGGAGCGAGACTGGAGGGAAGGGGGTGGAGGGGGTTAAAGGGCAAGACAGGGGGCGGAGGTGTTAGGGGGAGAGAGGTTGAGGGTTGAGATAGTGGAGTTGGGTGGCAAGAGCATGGGGAAGCGCACCCATGCGTTCACATCGTCATACAGGTTGGGGCGGCGGGAGGAGCGAGACTGGAGCGAGACTGACGGGGGTGGAGGAGTGAGGGAGAGGGGGTGAGGGTGAACAGCAGGTAGTAGGGCGAGGAGAGCACAGGAAGAGGCGCCCATGCGTTCACGTTGCCAACATAGGTTAGGGTGCGGAACTCACCAGGCAAACCCCGTGGTACAGGGTGTCCTTGACATGGATGAACGGCCAGGATCCATCCACGCCCAAAATTCAAACACACCGAAGAATCATGCCCGCCCAAGTCGTAGGTCAAGGCACGCAGAATCTAGTTGCAGCAGCATCAAAATCTAGCTGCACCCACCAGGCTGACCCCCCCCCCCAGGTACAGGGTGTCCTTGTCATCAATTAACGGTGTTATCCGTCCGCGCAAGAATCTGAAATCCACCAAAGGGACTCCCAACTCGCAGCTCAAGGCACTCAGAATGTAGATGCAGCAGCACTCACAAAGCTAGACACAGCAGCATCAAAACCTAGCTGCACTCACCAGGCTGAACCCCCGGTACAGGGTGTCCTTGTCGTGGATGAACGGCCAGGATCCATCCACGCTTGAATCTCAAGCGCAACAAAGAGTCAAGCCCGACCAACTCGTAGCTCAAGGCACTCACCAGGCTGACCCCGCGGTACAGGGTGTCCTTGTCATGGATGAACGGCCAGGATCCGTTCCCAGAGTACGGTTCGTAGATGCAGATGGGCTGGCCGGACCGCTCCAGGTCGCCGTCGTCCCTCTCGTGCAGCCCGTTCCTCTCGGCTCTCTTCACCCCCACCTTCACCTCCTCCCAGGATAGCGACTCGTGCTCCCTGCGATCCCACAGCTGGGATGGGGGGGAGATAGGGGAGGGAGGGAAGAGAAGACATCAAACACGTGCAGATGGGCTGGCCTGACCGCTCTAGGTCGCCGTCGTCCCTCTTCACCCGCACCTTCACCTCCTCCCAGGATAACGAATTGTGCTCCCTGCGATCCCGCTGCTAGAGGAACTAGGGGGCGGAAAGCGGGGAGGGGGGCGGTAGGGTGGAGGAGAAAAATACTAGAATATCAGGGGGGCATAGAGCAATGCAATCACATTCAACCCCAAAACTGGTACTCACATAAACTTACCACATAACGTGCAATTTGAGAGAGAAATTTACGTTATCTGCCTCCAATTGCTTCCCAGTGCCTTCAGCCCAAGCTCCCTTGCTGCTCCTCCGCGTGCCCTCTGCCCTTCACTGTTTACCTGGAGTGGGGCACTCCTTCCAAAGCGTGTTTCAAGGGCTTTCAACTATAAGGGACTCACATTGTCCGCCTCCACTTGCGCCTCCGTGTGCCCCCTGCCCTTCACTGTTTACCTGGAGTGGGGCTTTCAGAGTCGAAGGCTTTCGATCAGCCCAAACGGACTCACGTTATCAGCTTCGAATTGCTCCTCTGGTGCCTTCAGCCCAAGCTCCGTTGCTGCTCCTCTTGCCCCCTCCCTTCCCCTGCCCGGCCCTCCCGCACCAGACCCTCCCACTCCCCCAACCACGCCGACAGCACCACCACTGCCCTTGCCAGCTTCTGAATTGGATGTTCCTTGCCTCACTTCCCCTCCTGCTGCTCCTCCTGCTCCTGCTCCTGCTGCTCCTGCTCCTGCTGCTGCTGCTTCTGCTGCTGCTGCTTCTGCTCCTGCTGCTGCTGCTTCTGCTTCTGCTGCTGCTGCTCCTGCTGCTCCTGCTGCTCCTGCTGCTGCTGCAGCTTCGGATCCCCTCCCTGCCCCTCCCCCATCCCCTGCCGTTGCCCCTTGATCCGTCCCAGTGCCTACCCCTCCCCCCATCCCCACGCCTACCCCTGCTGCCACCCCCTCCCATGCAGCGTCCGCCTCATCCATCTCCTCCATAAGCATGCTCTCTCTCGTCCTATTCCCCATCACCAGCGCAGCCTCCTTCCTCTTCTCTGCTAGCCACTCCTCCTCCATCTGCACCACCACACTCCTTACACTCCTCCTATCACTCCCTCCCTCACTCCTCACACTCCTCCTATCACTCCCTCCCTCACTCTCCTCACCACCTCCCTCACTCCTCTCGAGTCTCCCTTCCCCTCTCGTATTCTCCCCTCTTCTGCCCTCACTCTCTCCCAACCCCACCACTCCCTCCCTCTCAGCCTCCTCTTCCGTTCTCCTCAATCGAACTTCACGCCCCTTAACGTCACCTTCCTTCAGTATCACTTTCCGCCCTCCAATCCCCCCACTCTCCCCTCCCCTCACTATCTCCGCCTCCCCTTCCTCCACACTCTCACCAACCCCCCCTCTCTGCCCCTCCTCCCCCTCCTCCTCTTCCCCACCCCTCATCTTTCCCCCTCCGCCCATCCCCTGTTTTCCCTCTCCTCTCGCTCCTCCCCCCACTCCTCCTACCACCCCTCCTCCCTCTCCTCCGTCTTCTCCTTTCTGCCCTCCCCCTCCCCACCCCCACCCCCCTTCCTCTCCCCACATCCAACCCTGCTTCTTGTCCCACCACAGCCAATCCGCCGGCCTAGGGCTCCTAATCCCCACGCCGCCTTCCGTGACCCGTTCTAGCAGCCTCGCTACCTCCTTAACTACGCTGCGCGCGCCGAGGGCCAATGACAGCTCGCGGCCCGATGCTGACATGGCGAGCGCGTCAGACTGCGACAGCGACGCGGCTTTCAGGAGCGCCTGCTTCATGGAAGGTTCCTTGCCGGGGTCGTAGAGAAGAGCGTGCACGTTGCTGGTCAACTGAGGGGAGGGAAGAGAGGGGGGGGGAGGGGGTGGAGAGAGGGGGAGAGGGCGAGGAGAGAGGAGGAAGGGGGGGGGGGGGTAGGGGGGGGGGGGGGGGGGGAAGGGGTGAGGAGGCAAGCGTCAACGCCTTCAATAGCAGTGGATTTACCAAACTCTCCTCCTCCACCGAACTCCACACCACTGGTGACTATTGAGACCCTTCTAGACCAACCAGCCACCCAACCACCCACCCACCGAACCAGCCAACCCACCCACCCACCCACTCACCTCTGCTCTTATCTTGGTCAGTTTGGGAGCCACAACCACCTTCCCCAGCGCCAGCGCTTTCACCAGCAACGGATTCACCTCCCTTTCCTCCTCCACCGAGCTCCACACCACCAGTGACTACTGAGACCCCTCATCCACCACCCCCCCACCCAATCAACCAAACACCCACACCCACTCACACCCACCCACCCACACCCACACACACCCACCCACACCCACCCACACCCACCCACACCCACCCACCCACACCCACCCACACCCACCCACACCCACCCACACCCACCCACACCCACCCACACCCACCCACCCACACCCACCCACACCCACCCACACCCACCCACACCCACCCACACCCACCCACCCACACCCACCCACACCCACCCACACCCACCAACCCACACCCACCCACGCACCTCTGCTCTTATCTTGATCAGTTTAGGAGCCACAACCACCTTCCCCAGCGCCAGCGCTTTAACAAGCAGCGGATTCACCTCCCTTTCCTCCTCCACCGAGCTCCACACCACCACATCACTCCCCAGAAGCATCCCCATCCCCTCCTCCCCCTCCGCCTCCCCCACGCCCCACGTCATATTCGCTATAAGCAGGTGATTCGCTACCACTTTTAGCACTGCCAGCTGCGACTGTGCCCCTGAGCTGTTCCAGTTCCCCATAAAAACCACGTGCGCTCGCTCCACTGCCGAAACCCCTTCCCGCTCCTTCTGATTCCCATCCCCTCCTCTCCCTCTCCCTCTCCCTCCTCCTCTCTGCTCCCTTCCCCCAACTCCACGTCCCCCTCCCCCCCCTCCCCTTCCTCCACTCCCTTCCCCTCCACTCCCTTCCCCTCCCCTCTCCCCGCTCCTTCCTTCCCCTCCTCCCTTTCTCCCCGCATCCCCTCCCATCCAACCCCACAGGGAGCCCCACCCCACGCCAGGCGGCTGAACCAACGACTGCACAGCATGCATAGCCATGGCCCTTTCCCGCCACTTCCCCTGGTACACGCGCTGGTTTCCCGCCACCGCTACAGTGAACGCGTCAGGCGGGATCTGACGCGCCGCCCGCTCCGACTCTGACGCGTGCGAGGCGGCGAATCGGGTTGCGGCGTACGTCCATGTGGGCGAGCCGGGAATCACCAGGAAGTTTCCAGTGTCCAGCGATTGGTATCGCTCCTGGTAGGGGAAAGGGTGGGATGGAGAGGAAAGCATAGGGCGGAGGGGAAAGGGTGGGATGGAGAGGAAAGCATAGGCCGGAGGGGAAAGGGTGGGATGGAGAGGAAAGCTTAGGCCGGAGGGGAAGGGGTCGGATGGAGAGGAAGAGGGAGAGGAGGAGGGAAAAAGGGCGGGCGTTATGCCTTCTGAAAAAGGACTCTTCGGGGTACCCCATCAGCACCTCGATTCCTTTCGTCCTGCTTTCAGCAGACAAGCCTTACCTGGAGGGATATGCAGGGCAGCACAACACCATCAGGGCGTGTTTTGAGAGCACTCCGAGTCTCACCTTTGAGGCACCTCAAAAATAGACTCCTCACGTATTGAGAGCACTCCGAGTCTCACCTTTAGCGCTATGCAGGGGAATACGACCGCGTCCGGCCGAGCGAACAGCTCCACCCACTGCTGCCTCAGCCCCTGCAGCTGCTGACTGGACTCGTACGCTGCCAGCCTGTCCGCCACGTCAGCCTCGTGCACGATCCACACCAGAGGGACCTCTGTAAAGGGCTCTTGACCCAACCTGCATGGGGGGAGGGGGGGGAAGGGGTGCGCGTGGTGGGGGAATGGTTGCGAGGGGTGGGGGAATGGGACTTCTGACTTGGCCCGAAACCGCACCAGAGGGACGTTTGTGAAGGGCTCGTGATTCAACCTGCAGGGGGGAGGTGGGGAGGTGAGGGCTCGTAATCCTATGCAATGACACGCCCCGCAGGAAGAGCTATTTACGCAGTGAAAGTTGTTGCATGGCTATGTGGTTGTGCAACCACTCTTAGCGAGTACTCACTTGGCGATAAACGGAGTGGCTTCTAGCGAGTTGGCCAGAACGCCTTGATAGCTGTCAAGAAAGAAAGGGGGGGGAAAGCATTTAGGCAAGGCGTTAGAGGGGCACGGGAGACGCATGATAGTGGTGCATGGACGAAGCAACAGAGAGCAGTGCAGATGCGCTGGTGCCGATAAGTCAATCTCCAAAATCAAACAGACACGTGGTTACAGACGGACGCGAGACAGCAGCTACAAACGCGGGATAGGACTCACTCTAGCCAGTCAATGTGATCTAAGCTCGTGTTGTGACGCCCCGTTATAGTCACACGGGTGGACAGGCCCTTCCACGCTTCCACCATAGGCCCTCCTTCCTGCGCAATAACCTGCAGCGAGGAGCAACGCAGAAGGGTGAGGTTGACGAAGGGGGAGAGGGAGAAGAGAGGGAGGGAGAGTACGAGAGAGTGCGATCCGCACAAAGAGCAGAAAAGCACGCATTCGCCGCATCCCTTCCAAGCTGATCTGAACCCTGGAATGAGCTGAACTGAACCCAGGGAAAAAAAGGCGCTGACGCAAAAGACACCCAGAGCTTAGCTCAATGCCGTACAGGAATAGCCCGAGCCCCCGCAACCGCATATAGTGAAACCCCGCCCCACCTCAATCGCGTTTCCCAGAGACTTGAGGCCCGAGCCGAGGGTAAGAAGTGGGCAGGGCATTCCCCGCATTCCGTTCCAGGCGATCCAGTCCGGCAGATTATTGCGCCGTCGCAAAACACGCGTGGAACCTCCTACCTCACTAGCGTACAGGAATACCCCGACCCATATAGGAATACCCCGACCCACCTCGCCAGCATACAGGAATACCCCGACCCACCTCGCCTGCATATAGGGAAGCCCCGGCCCACCTCGATGGCGTATCCCAGGGACTTGAGGCCCGAGCCGAGGGTGAAGAAGTAGGCATTCTCCGCATCCCGTTCCAGGCGATCGGTCACGAACGCCAGCAGAGGCGGTCTAAGATTGGCCGAGACCTCCGTCAGCCATCGCAGCGCGCCTTGGACCTGCGCCGCCCGTCGCTCCATCAACCCTTCCTTCAGCTTCAGTAACTTCTTAACGAGCGTCGAGTCCCTCTTCGATACAGTCACATCTTTCACTATCACCTCTCGGCTCTGCAGCTGCCTTTGTCCAAAGTCTATCTGCACCTGGCCATCTAAGACTGCGGTTTCTAAGGTCTGACTTGTTGCTGAACTGTGGACATATAATCCTATACCGAAGCAGATGACTGCAGCGAGGATGAACGGAAGGTACACCCATCGTGCGGTAACTCCAGCGGTGCTCCTCTTAGCGTGTGACGAATACAGATCAGAGCTATTTAAACTGCTATTTCGGCGAACGCGGTTTCTAGACCGTTGCCGTTCAGGCACGCCGCTACACCTGACGGGCTCTGCAGATTCCGTGTCGAACGAGCTCGGCGCGCAGTGGCGATTCGCCGATGCGTGCCACGTGGCAGAGGCAGATGCTGACGAATGTGACGGCCGTTTCATTGCTGACGTGGGAGATGGGGGAGCCCCTCTGGGCTCGTCGTCGCACATGGTGGTTGCCAGCTCAGCAGAAAACGAATGACGACTCTAGGCGATACTGCGAAATGGGGTTACGTCGTTGAACGCGAGTAACGACTCTAGGCGATAAAGACATCCTTAAACGCACAAACGAGGGGGTGTGACAGCGTGATTTTTGTCGCATCGAAGCAGTGTGCTTTACTACGAGTAGATACTAGCAAGAGTCGTTGAGATGATCAGCGTGCTGTAAGATTACCCCCTGAGCCTACAAGCTTGCGAGGGAATTCAGCAACGACTGTCGGGAAGATCATTGAATTACGGAACGAACTCGACAAGACAAATGTTGAGTTCCGGAGGAGGTATGCCCTGCAGTGTCACTCATAAGGTCGCCGGCTTGCCATGGCTACTCGTCTAGTTCGCTCGACTAAGTTCCAGCCTACTCTGCCTGCAATCAGAGAACGATAGCGTTTGCCTAACCAACAGCAGAGGGGGTGCCGCGACTTGAACCCAGTGAGGAAGAAACCCGAGAGAGAACGGTAAGGGAGAACCGACGAAGACGTAACTGGAGGGCCGCGATACTGGAGTTTCCAAAAGTCGCCTCGATTCCCGAATCCCAAACCCGCCAAGGCCGCCTTGAGATTCGAGAATGTTGAGTCAAGCGGAGATTCCGAGGTTCCCCTTCCCCCCCTCACTTTCTCTCTCAAGTCTCGGGTGTCAGGGAATTGCCGCTGGGGGAACAACGCGTGTGCAGAGGCAACCACTAACCCGCGGGAAGAGCCCGAGGGCAAAGGTTAGGAAAAGCGGGGGAAGTTTAATCTACGGCTCACAGCCGAAAGTCGGGGAAATGGGTGCAATATCGGACGGGTATGAAGATGATTATATTCTGACCCGCCGAGCCAGTAGCCAAAGCTCGCTAGCGTCGCGGGCCGAGCCTGGTTTCATCTTGTGCCGGGCCTGAACGTGGCTGGCTATTATTTGGCAGACCGAATTGACGTTCGCTGCGATTCGGCAACCAACATCACGCTGTACGAACCCTGCTCGTCCGGCATGGTTCGTCACCAGAAAGGCAGAAGGCGGGAACCCTCGAGTCAGGTATGGCGGTATGCTGGCGTGTCAGGGAAAAGACTTTCCATGAACTGCCTCGCTTCAAGGACCCAGTGAACAAAGCTTGATAAAGATAATACACTGAAAAAAATACACACAAACATCACCCAAAAGGCTGACTGAATGTCTATAGGCTAGGTGGGTCCAGCCGTCGAAGCAGATATTCCACCTGCACCTTCTTTGTCAACGGCATTATCCACTGGCCATACAGTCTCGCAACAACCTCTGGTTGAATCTTGAAGCTTCCCTGTGGCTGCTGATTATTAGGATTTGAAGTCGCCGCTCCATCATCATTCACCCCTTTCGACGCCTCGCCAGCAGAATTTGCAGGACTTTCAGATATATCCTGTCCAAAGGTGGCCGCCTTTCTCTCAACCCGGCGTTGAACGGCAGCTTCGACATCATTGAATGTGAGCAACTGCATCAGCCCATCCGCATCTTGCTTCTCAATCAAGGCTCTATATGTATCCGGATTCTCCTGGAACTTTGCCTCGGCGACAAAAGCCCCAAAGTGGATCCGCTTTGAGAGAGCCTGATGGGTACGGAAGAGGGATGAGGGAGATGCACACAGAAGGGAGGAAGATGAAAGAGCATGGGAGAACAGCATCCACTGTGTGTGCAGCATGGGACAGTCACAAAATCAGCAGAAAGAATAGGGGAATCTCTTACAAAAACGAGACAAATGGCTGACCTGCAGGCAAAGAACGTCCATGGTGACAGCGGAGCCATAGTTGAAGTCGTCTCCGTCTCGGGTGATTTCAGGCAACAGGTCGTCAAAATACATTTTCCAGATAATGGCGTTGATGTTTATGGTGCTCGCTGCATCATGCAGCACCTGCATTCATGTGCACGTACACATACAGACACACATAGGCATTCAGGCCCAACCCTTAACATGATGACTCTGAAATTGCACCGGACGACAAATAACTTATCATTTTGAAATGGCTGGTAGTTGAGGGAGCTGCATATGGGGTGGCATGTTGGTTGTCAAAGGGGAAGGCCATGTATCTGACGTACCTTGGGGTAGTTCAATTGAGGCAGAATGAGAGGCGGAATGGCATCTGGGAAGAACGGCCGCTCTGTGGGGCTAGTATAGCGCCGAACCTGGTGACACGTGGCAAACGGACAAGGAGCAGAGAACAGATATGGAGGTGGGTGCAGTGGAGTCCAACTCTCCGTCGAGCTCACGACGACGAACCGGGCGAGACGTGGAGGGGTATGAGTGCCATTGTCAGCAAACTTTCAGATGTACACTGTAGCTTTAATGGTAGCACTCTTCGCCGTAAAGCCAAAGAGCGGCAACAGGAACATTCTTAGTGGGAATGGCGGAGAATTGCGAAAGGGTCGAGAACGCGTAGGCGATGTAGTACCAAATTTGAAGGATGACAATTACCTTTCCGTGGAGCATTTCCGTTTCCCGCATGACGAACTCCAACAGCGATCCGTCGAACCCCGGAACGGGCATGGCTGACGCGTCGTACGCAGGTCGGTTGCGACAGAACTGTGATCGCTCGATCAACGAGAAGATAATGCTGTCCTCCTGGCGAATTAGGGAGCTACGAATGTTCGCCAATGTTACCGTGTGCTGGTCGCTGATATCCATATCGCCAACCTCCCCGTCTGGAAAGAAGGTCGCGGAGGGCCGAGCGGCTGCTGCGGAAATCGCGGAAGCTGAGTCAGCAGCGCCGAGGATTGCGGGGATCGGTACGACGGGAGCCGAAACGGAGGAAGCTGCGGAATCACTCCGTAGAGTATTAACTATGAGAGATGGGATGCGGGATATGCGGCGCGAAAGACGCTGAGATGGAAGCTGCTTACGCTGGAACAAGGGTATGATGGCGCTGCTGCTGGTAGTGAGTAAGATGCGTGACTCAATCGCGGGAAGCATCTCGACCAAGGGTTTAGGAAAGCAGCACCCAGGGTTTGCTCCACTAAGAAAGCAGCAGCACCTGGCGCAAGTAATAGTCACGCAATTAAGCTCCGCATTCAGCAGGCCGCCTAATCGCCACAGATTGAAGTTGGCGTGTGTCTGAGTCGGGAACTCCGACCCAGGGATCAACACTGAAGACTACTGGACGAAGCGTTGACTAAATGAGCAATAATACCTGCTCCTTGCATTCTCTGTGCATCGCAGGCGATGGAGCATAGCCTCTGTCAAAACTTCAACCACGCTGTACCACGCGATTTCCTTCTGAAGCATGCCAGAAACGTTAATAAACTCACTGTACCGTTCGGACCGTTCGAACTAACTGAAGTTCGGAACTGTATGTTCCAAGGGACGAGTGCAGAATTCCCAAGGGGAAATGGCATGGGAAAGCTGGTTGGTGATAGTGTAACTTAATGCTCGCCAGAGTTCGTCAATTCTTCGTGCACCAATGAAACTGCACAAGACGTAACATGTGTTGCAAAGCTGGCTTAAGCATTTGTACATAAGGAAACTCCGCTAGCTAGCCAATAGTGGCACCAAATACCATAACACCCTTTTGGATCTTACGCCCTGCAGGCACATCCCTTTCCCCTTGTTTACAGCCACCACTTGTGTGTGCATCTGACAAGCCTTTGGCTGCCATTTGCAGGTCCTCTAGAGTTATGGCATAGAAACGGTTGCCTAACTTGCAAGGGGATCCCTCAAGAGATCTTGATGCTACCGAGCGATGCTCCCCAACACCATCATACGTATCCATATTATGCATGTCTTCTCTTTTCGCCTGAATTGCCGTTGTTGCCTTCTCATTTCCCTTAGACTCCCCCTCGCTTACTGACGAAGCCCCCACATCCGTTTCAGACCTCCATCTCCTCCTCGGCGCATTCTTCCCAATCCGCCTGGAAGATTGGGCCATTCCCACATCCTCAGCCACAGTTCCTTGGCTCTTCACCCTCCTCTTTCTGCCTCCCTTCACCACGCAGTCAGCTCCAGAGTGGTCCTGAAGCAGCTGCTTCGCCCAGGCACTCCGAGGGGCCATGGACCTCCCGCCTCGCAGCGGAGGCATCAGCTTGAGCGCAGGCTGGTCACTGCTTGCAGGCCTGCTTCTCTTTGACAATGCCGCTGTGTTTGACGCTTGCTCCTTTTCCATAGCTCGAGGTTGATCTTGCCTGGAAGGGGAGGGAATCAACGGTTCCCATCCAGTTGGAATTGCCTCTGCTGCTGCATCAGGGTACGTGCAATCTTTTCCTGTTGCAAGCGTGCGTAGTCCTGCTGCTGATGCTGACAGCACTTCAGATGCCTTCAGCTTCAGACGACATTCTGCATGGCCTTCTGGACGTTGTCCTGCCTCTGGAGCTTCCCCAGAAAGCGTAGCCCTCAGCTGATCAGGCGTCATATCACGATGATTTGAAATGTGATCTTCCTGGTACCAGGGGACATTCAGGTCCAAGACAAGGACCGGCTCTGACATTTCAATGTTGAGGTCCACGTCAGGCGGGTTCCCATATGCTGCCAGAGAGCCGCCTTGCATCCGTGGCTCGGAATCAAGCCCATGTCTTGACATGGTGGCATTGTGGCTAGGTAACACTGCGTCAGGATGTAACATTGCATTGGTATGTTGCACCATGGTAATCAGCTGAGACGTCGTGTCTTGAAGCGGTACCGTGTCACTTCCATGATGACGTGGATCCGCGTCACAGTGACTGCACTGGAATGAGTGAGGCGAGCTCATTCTCGTGCAGATTCCAGCGGTGGTAGATCCCATGCTTAGACTTCCGACGTATGGCTTCATACCATTGCTCTGCTCCCAAGAGGCCATACTGATTGTCTCCTGGATACTTCCGCAGCAGCAGCTCGTTTGTTCGTCAAGTGAGACGATAGTCTCCAAGTCCTCTTCGGGAGGGTTCCAGGGATAAGGAGGGCTTGACGCCGATGCACTGCCGAAACTCATGCGGAGAGCCGTGGCTGGTGCGGGATGAGTCTAGCACTTGGTCTAAAAGTGGAACCGGTGATGCGGGAAAGTGTACAACTGGCCGAGACGTAAAATTGGTAAGAGCAGACCTCAGTTGCTCTGGTCGGACATGGACTAGACAGAACAGAGACAGAAATTACGGCTGAGGCTATCTGTGTCGGTCGTTAGAAACGGGGGGAGGAGACGATCAGGCCGCTGGTTTCCCTCGCAATGCGTTGTCAGGCAAATGCGGGGTGTAGTTAATACCATCGCTCGGCGTATCGTCGAGCCGTTGGCTGTGTGGATGCATGCACCATGAACCCAATCCCGAGTGGAAAAAAAGGCGGTGACGCTACGATCCCGTCGGTTCGCTTGTCACCCATCCCCGGGGTTGTTGCACGTGATTAGGACACACTTGTGGCCATTCGGTACTGCTCGACTAGCACATTCCCATCGCTCGCATCGCATCGTGCGAGACGGTGAGCTTTAACGCTAGCATAACAACCCCCAACAGTCGCTGAGACCGAAAATGCTTTGGAGGTTTGGACAGCCGCCAAGAGTGGAAGATATCGCTCTGGGATAGTGAGCAAGAGGGATCAGGCTGGGGGAAACCCGAGAGGCGACCTGGAATCAGGTTCGGCTGATCCCTCGAACCTTCCTCGACTTGAGAAACGGAAGGGAAATATACGATTCAGATCGACATCCCTAAACCGGAAAAAAAGCACGTGATGGACCAGGAAAGCGATCGCTGTAGCGATGCCAAGTGGAAATCGAGACAAGCGTCGGGAGTAGCGCTTTCCCCAGTCCCCCACTTATCGAGAGGGCACCGACTGACGCCTATGGCGTTTAGGACAGGGACGGGACGCAGGAGGACAGGAGTAATGATCAGCTTGCGCCAGAGCAGCACCGCCTTAATTTCCTCATACTGGTGCCAGGATCTTCACTTCTCCCATGAGCTGCTCTAATGGATGGCAGTCGGCACGTGAACGAGATGGCAAGCAAGGGTTCTGGCGGTTGATCTCGACAATCCCTAGATTTACGATCTCTTGTTGCATCCTCGTGCGGCCCATTGGTACTGTTGTCCTGTTCGTGCTGACATGTAATCTCGGACGACAGTAAAAATAAATCGAGAAGCCTCGATATAGTATCGTGATTGCGCAGCCTGTAACGAGGATTCCAAATCGCAAATTCTTGGACATCGGACTTCCTGGCCTCTATCATATCTTGACGGTTACCGCCATTTTCGACCAATCATAGGCAAGCGACGCTATTTGGCTGGGCTTGATATACGCAGCACCTAAAACGAAAGGTGGTCACTGATTCAGAGCAATTGAGTGTTTATAAGTGCCCACAAAGCATACATTATGGTAATGACCTACTTGCGTTATGTGCCATTAGTAAAGATAATATTCGGGTCCAAATGTAGGAGTTTACGGATGGCATTGAATGCTCCCAATTGACATGATTTGTAAATACCATAAAGAAAACAGCTCCCAAATGGGGTGCATACCCATTTTAGCCAAAGCTGAGCGTTCCAGCAAAAAATAGAAGTAATATTAGAATTACAGGACAAGAACACCGCATACACCTTTTTCCCTCTATGGTCCCACCCCGAACAGTCCAAATTGCAATCTCACCTACCAGGTTCTCAGCATGACTCGCGTTGACACTGAACCTGATTGGCTGCAGTCTGAACGATAACGAACTACCAAGTTGTATTTCGACAATTGCGAGTTTCAGAGCTGGATTGTTGCCCAGGCAACCAATCCAGTGCATGAGCGAGATTTTGTAACCAGGTGTCATTGCCTACTGTGGGATTTCCCCTTCAAAGTCCCGTTTGCCCGTGCTTTACAATTTCCTGCTTACAGGATCGAGCCGCGTGCAAAAACCGTGGGGCTAAATAGGAGAACAAGTGTACCTGATTTCGGCTCGCGATGAGATCACAACCGCTGGAGCTCCCCCTGTTCCTAGCTACCCCTTCCATAACCCCCGCCCCCCTTTCCCCCTATTTTCCACATTCCCAGCTCCGCAAATAAGGCCCCTGGAAACTGCCATGTCAAACGGCTGGCAGACTCCTTGGCCTTGCCGCGCTCCACGGGCTGGCCACGACGCTTGGCGAGATCGCTTCCTTCGGGCTTGCACGGCGGGGGCTGGGCTGACGAGGCTGCTGGTTACCAGAGGCTCTCGATGCCGCACCACAAGCCTGTGGCAGCTGGTGACAGTCGCCATCCGCGTTTAGAACAATTCGCACAGCTTCGCTAGTGTTCATATCGGCGTTCGCATTCGGAGAGGCGGAGATTGCCCTCCTTCTGGACGCGCCCTCATCGATAGTTCCCGCGCTTTCACTGCGTCGGAATTGCCGTGGCGTGGTTGGATTATTCGCAGTGCTGCCAAACCCCCGGATAGAAGCACTTACTTGCCCGCCCATCCCGCCCCTCATATCTTCAGTGCAAAATCCGGCCATGTCATGCAGATCTAGCACTGGGCCGAGCGCCGCAACCACCTCGGACATTTTTGGGCGGCGCTTAGCTTTTTTCAGCAGGCACTCTTTGACGATCGCCGCCACCATTTGTGCGCCGCGAGCGGAGTACCGCCCGCGGAGGGTGGGGTCCATTATGCGGTAGAGCGTGGAGGGCGCGGAAAGGAAGGGGGATGCCCATTCGACCAGACTCTGCTCCTCGCGCGGTCTGGAAAACGACAAGGTGAGAGAAACCAGAATCTAGGTCAGATAAAGAAATCGAAAATGATGAATATTTGACAACCACAGACGGTAAACAGAAAACTTAATAAGGGGGACAATGGAAAAGGGGGTCTGTAAATTACCTGTCTTTATCCAGCGCCAGCCTCCCAGTCATCAGCTCCAGCAGCACGACGCCGAAGCCGTACACGTCGCTCTTCGTTGTAAGGTGCCCCGTTAGCACGTACTCGGGCGCCGCGTACCCTACGGTCCCCACCACGCGCGTGGAGACGTGTGTCTTCTCCCCATCGGGCCCTTCTCTCGCCATTCCGAAATCCGATAACTTCACATCGAGCTCGTTCGTTAGTAGAATATTCGACGTCTTGAAGTCGCGATATATCACCTGATGCTCCGCTTCCTCGTGCAGATACGCCAACCCCTTGGCCGCGCCATACGCGATCTTCAGCCGCTGATGCCACGTCAGCGGATCGGCCTCCGCCTCCTCCCCGAAAAGCAGAAACTCGAGGGAGCCGCGGGGAAGGAACTCGTACACTAACAGCCGTTGATCTGCCTCGGCGCAGTACCCAACCAGATGGACGAGATTCGGGTGTTCCAGGAGTCCGAGGAAGCTAACCTCAGTCAGCCATTCCCTCTCCCCCTGGTGCCCGCACGTGTCGAGCACTTTCACGGCCACTGGAATTTTCCGCCCGCTGCGTGTGGGGAGGTAGCCCTTGAAAACAGACCCGAACCCGCCCTCGCCAAGAAATCCCTCGATAGCGAAATTGTTCGTCAATTCTTCCACCTGCGCATATGTGAAGGGGATTGGGCCTGCCATTGTCCGCCCAGGCAGGCCGTCGTCTGTGGCCTGGTAACCAGGTAAGGGCTCGCGAAACTCGCATGGCGTTGATAAAAACTCGCGATGCGAATTGGAGCGTGGCGAAAATTCGCTCGAGGGTTCGCAGATGGGCATCAAGACGCCGGCGCGTTGGTGAATGCCTGACATGATTGGCGAATTCGCCAGTTCTGGTAACGACTTGGATTTTCCCAGCTGATTGTCAGGGCTGACAGCGGCATCACCTGTAACGCATCGCATCGTGCGAGACGGTGAGCTTTAACGCTAGCATAACAACCCCCAACAGTCGCTGAGACCGAAAATGCTTTGGAGGTTTGGACAGCCGCCAAGAGTGGAAGATATCGCTCTGGGATAGTGAGCAAGAGGGATCAGGCTGGGGGAAACCCGAGAGGCGACCTGGAATCAGGTTCGGCTGATCCCTCGAACCTTCCTCGACTTGAGAAACGGAAGGGAAATATACGATTCAGATCGACATCCCTAAACCGGAAAAAAAGCACGTGATGGACCAGGAAAGCGATCGCTGTAGCGATGCCAAGTGGAAATCGAGACAAGCGTCGGGAGTAGCGCTTTCCCCAGTCCCCCACTTATCGAGAGGGCACCGACTGACGCCTATGGCGTTTAGGACAGGGACGGGACGCAGGAGGACAGGAGTAATGATCAGCTTGCGCCAGAGCAGCACCGCCTTAATTTCCTCATACTGGTGCCAGGATCTTCACTTCTCCCATGAGCTGCTCTAATGGATGGCAGTCGGCACGTGAACGAGATGGCAAGCAAGGGTTCTGGCGGTTGATCTCGACAATCCCTAGATTTACGATCTCTTGTTGCATCCTCGTGCGGCCCATTGGTACTGTTGTCCTGTTCGTGCTGACATGTAATCTCGGACGACAGTAAAAATAAATCGAGAAGCCTCGATATAGTATCGTGATTGCGCAGCCTGTAACGAGGATTCCAAATCGCAAATTCTTGGACATCGGACTTCCTGGCCTCTATCATATCTTGACGGTTACCGCCATTTTCGACCAATCATAGGCAAGCGACGCTATTTGGCTGGGCTTGATATACGCAGCACCTAAAACGAAAGGTGGTCACTGATTCAGAGCAATTGAGTGTTTATAAGTGCCCACAAAGCATACATTATGGTAATGACCTACTTGCGTTATGTGCCATTAGTAAAGATAATATTCGGGTCCAAATGTAGGAGTTTACGGATGGCATTGAATGCTCCCAATTGACATGATTTGTAAATACCATAAAGAAAACAGCTCCCAAATGGGGTGCATACCCATTTTAGCCAAAGCTGAGCGTTCCAGCAAAAAATAGAAGTAATATTAGAATTACAGGACAAGAACACCGCATACACCTTTTCCCCTCTATGGTCCCACCCCGAACAGTCCAAATTGCAATCTCACCTACCAGGTTCTCAGCATGACTCGCGTTGACACTGAACCTGATTGGCTGCAGTCTGAACGATAACGAACTACCAAGTTGTATTTCGACAATTGCGAGTTTCAGAGCTGGATTGTTGCCCAGGCAACCAATCCAGTGCATGAGCGAGATTTTGTAACCAGGTGTCATTGCCTACTGTGGGATTTCCCCTTCAAAGTCCCGTTTGCCCGTGCTTTACAATTTCCTGCTTACAGGATCGAGCCGCGTGCAAAAACCGTGGGGCTAAATAGGAGAACAAGTGTACCTGATTTCGGCTCGCGATGAGATCACAACCGCTGGAGCTCCCCCTGTTCCTAGCTATCCCTTCCATAACCCCCGCCCCCCTTTCCCCCTATTTTCCACATTCCCAGCTCCGCAAATAAGGCCCCTGGAAACTGCCATGTCAAACGGCTGGCAGACTCCTTGGCCTTGCCGCGCTCCACGGGCTGGCCACGACGCTTGGCGAGATCGCTTCCTTCGGGCTTGCACGGCGGGGGCTGGGCTGACGAGGCTGCTGGTTACCAGAGGCTCTCGATGCCGCACCACAAGCCTGTGGCAGCTGGTGACAGTCGCCATCCGCGTTTAGAACAATTCGCACAGCTTCGCTAGTGTTCATATCGGCGTTCGCATTCGGAGAGGCGGAGATTGCCCTCCTTCTGGACGCGCCCTCCTCGATAGTTCCCGCGCTTTCACTGCGTCGGAATTGCCGTGGCGTGGTTGGATTATTCGCAGTGCTGCCAAACCCCCCGATAGAAGCACTTACTTGCCCGCCCATCCCGCCCCTCATATCTTCAGTGCAAAATCCGGCCATGTCATGCAGATCTAGCACTGGGCCGAGCGCCGCAACCACCTCGGACATTTTTGGGCGGCGCTTAGCTTTTTTCAGCAGGCACTCTTTGACGATCGCCGCCACCATTTGTGCGCCGCGAGCGGAGTACCGCCCGCGGAGGGTGGGGTCCATTATGCGGTAGAGCGTGGAGGGCGCGGAAAGGAAGGGGGATGCCCATTCGACCAGACTCTGCTCCTCGCGCGGTCTGGAAAACGACAAGGTGAGAGAAACCAGAATCTAGGTCAGATAAAGAAATCGAAAATGATGAATATTTGACAACCACAGACGGTAAACAGAAAACTTAATAAGGGGGACAATGGAAAAGGGGGTCTGTAAATTACCTGTCTTTATCCAGCGCCAGCCTCCCAGTCATCAGCTCCAGCAGCACGACGCCGAAGCCGTACACGTCGCTCTTCGTTGTAAGGTGCCCCGTTAGCACGTACTCGGGCGCCGCGTACCCTACGGTCCCCACCACGCGCGTGGAGACGTGTGTCTTCTCCCCATCGGGCCCTTCTCTCGCCATTCCGAAATCCGATAACTTCACATCGAGCTCGTTCGTTAGTAGAATATTCGACGTCTTGAAGTCGCGATATATCACCTGATGCTCCGCTTCCTCGTGCAGATACGCCAACCCCTTGGCCGCGCCATACGCGATCTTCAGCCGCTGATGCCACGTCAGCGGATCGGCCTCCGCCTCCTCCCCGAAAAGCAGAAACTCGAGGGAGCCGCGGGGAAGGAACTCGTACACTAACAGCCGTTGATCTGCCTCGGCGCAGTACCCAACCAGATGGACGAGATTCGGGTGTTCCAGGAGTCCGAGGAAGCTAACCTCAGTCAGCCATTCCCTCTCCCCCTGGTGCCCGCACGTGTCGAGCACTTTCACGGCCACTGGAATTTTCCGCCCGCTGCGTGTGGGGAGGTAGCCCTTGAAAACAGACCCGAACCCGCCCTCGCCAAGAAATCCCTCGATAGCGAAATTGTTCGTCAATTCTTCCACCTGCGCATATGTGAAGGGGATTGGGCCTGCCATTGTCCGCCCAGGCAGGCCGTCGTCTGTGGCCTGGTAACCAGGTAAGGGCTCGCGAAACTCGCATGGCGTTGATAAAAACTCGCGATGCGAATTGGAGCGTGGCGAAAATTCGCTCGAGGGTTCGCAGATGGGCATCAAGACGCCGGCGCGTTGGTGAATGCCTGACATGATTGGCGAATTCGCCAGTTCTGGTAACGACTTGGATTTTTCCAGCTGATTGTCAGGGCTGACAGCGGCATCACCTGTAACGGGTATGACTTTACGGATCGCTTCGGCTGCAGCAGCGCTGTTACTTTTCACGATCTGACGGCCCGCCGTCTCTGCCGCTCCTCCGTTGATCTCAGCCGAAATCGACGGCGAAGACGTGATGCTGGATGAGCTGGCAGGGCTGCACGTGGAACTCGACCCCCCTGACGTGGCAGGGCGGAGCCAGCTCGACTGTCGCCGGGATGCCGCCGCCGACGCCTTTTTCCGGCTGCGAGGGCTCTGCGACGCGTTAGAGCTGCTAGTAGACGTAGCAACGGCAGCAGCGGCCGCGGCGCCGCTGGGAGGAATCCCCTTAGGGCTCGGCAGCAGCTGCGGCTTCCCGCCAAAAGCGGCGCCAGACGCGGCGCTGTCCTTGGGCGGGTGCGCTGGCGGAGTGGATGGCGCGGAGCGTGGGCTGTTCGCCGCAGAGAGGCTGCGCGCGCGCAGCTTGGACAGGGGCGCAGACTCGGAGCGAGAGAGGAAGCTTCCGCGCTGCTTTCGAGCCACCGGGGATTTGCATGTGGATGCAGCGCCGGGCGTCGATTTGCTGATGCGGGAAGGCTGGGGAGGGTGGGGCGAATCAGGGCGTTCCGGAGAGACGTCACGAGAGCTGAAACCGAAGCAGCCCATAGTGAGGTCTGTTGGAATCGTATTTGACGGTGGAGATTAATGATGGAAATGGGGAGTTACAGTGACGCTTTGACAGCAGCGAGACGAGGTGAGGCGCGATTGAATGGTACTCAATGCTCAATGCTCGAGGCTCGAGGCTCAAGGCTCGAGGGAATTCTTTGAAGACGTTCGCCCTCTGCCCTCAGGGCTCAAGGAATGACTAGAGCGGAACAAGCGTGACTGGCTGCCCTCTGCGTTGGGTTCAAATAGTGCTGGTCTCTGCGTTGGGCTCAAATAGTGCTGGTCTCTGCGTTGGGCTCAGCTTGAAAGATGGTAAAGACTGTGAACCGACCAAATCATTTATGTGGTGCGTGAGGAGGTGTCTGAGGGGAGGAGGTGTGAGAGGAGGTGTGTGAGGCGGTGTGTGGGAGGAGAGGTGCGTGTGACATCGGCAGAGCGTTATGGTGACGATCAGGAGGAGCTGTGAGTGCAGGTAAGGAGGAGATAAGAGTACAGCAGTCGGATGCCGGAATTTCCGCTGGGGGAGGAGTCAGCTGGAGGCTCGGAACTGGGGAGACGGAGAGGCGAAGAGGCGGACTGAGGGAGTGGGGTGGGGAGAAAGAGAAGGGGAAAGGGCACGGATCTGTCATCTCCTGCGTTGTCGCATCGGAATTGGATCCGTCGAAAAAGGAGTACCGACGCGAGCGCCGTCGGTGGTGCTGCTGCTGCCGACTGAGCCTGCCTCGGAACGAATTATTCGCACGACTTCTTTTCGGCCAATGAGAACGAGGGGCATTTTACACCAATGGGAGCGAGGAGAGGAACGGGTGCCTCGATTCAGCGCATGTACTCTAAGGTCACGTGTCTCAGCCGTTAGATGGCAACTTGGCTCGAACGCATTGCACGGCTTCGATCAGGAGGAAGGAAAAAAAACGCGCGTCGTTCGTGCGAATGCTCGTGGCGAATAGGACGCGGACCCGCTTCTACCGCGTACGAAGACAGCCGTTCTTTTCTGCGTCGGCCGCTCCTTGCCTCTCCGGCTACCGTGGCAACTGCTTCGCCGAGGTACTGAACCTGGAATTCCAAGAGGCAGACCGCCGGCGGCTCGGCGAGCAGCCAACCAGCAGCAGCCATCACCTTCCAGGGCGTCGTACATGCTATCGCCTTTGCCCTAGCTCCTGCTACCCTGCACTAGGGTACCGTTACCGTACCATATTGCTCCTGCGCCTATCCTACTGCTGTGGCCATCTGCTGTGGCTGAGGGCGTGTGGCAAGTAGAATTCCGAAGCATGGGACGGAACGGGATCTCCGTTCGTTTTGATGCTACAGTGGTCACTTGCCACATGGACAGGAGTGTACTCGCTGCCCAGAACGAAATTAACCCAACTTACGACCCCAAGAAAACTGCATTGGCAAACTGCAAAATTGCGACACTCGCAAAATTCGCGAACCCAGCAATTATCGCCACAGCACAAACCACAGTTTCGCCAGGGGGTGTCCTAGAGTTGGCATCATAGGTTTCCCGTGTTTGGCTGTGTTGTGTGTTTCCCTATCGTTTTGCAATATCGCTTGCTCATGGGATAATTCTTCGTCAGCTCGCATTGGGCAGCCAGTCAGGTTCTTTTTTTGTGACCAGGCTGTTCGTATTTTGCCAAATTTTTGTTCCTCTCCCACGCTTTGTTTCTACAGTGGACACTTGCGACACGGGCAGTTTCTGCGAAGAGCGTGCGAACACCACTGTACGACGGATATCCACCTTCTTCGCTCCCGTCCCATCCCTCCGTTTTGAAACTACTTGCCACACACCCTAACCTACTGCGAGCGGATATGGCGGTGCTGCTTTGCTGTTTTGCTGGCATGCTGTGTGCCTTCTTGGCCGCACGAAAGCTTTCACGAGAAACGAAACCACACGAGGTTTGGATGCACCAATCAGAGGGCGAAGACACGAATGGTCGAATGCAGTTGCGTCGGTACTGCTTAGTAGCAGAATCGCCACTAGATTACTATTGGAAATAGCCGTGAAACCGTGGTTTCTGGTTAGGATGAAAACCACATTCTGAGCACAACACAAGGTTGGGGTATAAGGCCAAAATCCTCGTAATGAAGAACCCCGTAATACAGAAGATTATGTAGTGTTATTTTCGTTGATAAATAGCTTCATCCGTCATGATGTGCACCATACCATACTAATCAGGGCTTCAGAAATCATGACAAAATGCCCTGAAATGCTGTATATCAGGGTGTTCTTTTAGGGTCGTCCTATTTTTTCAGCTTTTGATTTTCCCTAGGCCTGAATTTTAGGGGTTCTCATTTGAGCAGGCCTGAAATATTGTATGTTCTTGTTTTGGTCACCCTGAATTATCACCTTTAACGGATTTCCAGCATGAAACAGAATCCTATCTAACCCGTCGAGGCGAGCTGGAGCAGCTGTGAGGGAGTTGTCAGAAACCCAGTCACTAACCACTGGGTTAAAAGGGCTTGTTGAATAGCGGATAAGTGCGCCCATAGCCCCCCAGGCTCTGCACCTGTGGCCCTTTCCCGAGGATCTCAAGGGCAACCCCAGCGGGTCACTCAACACCCGACCCCCCCCCCCCCCCCCCGCTGGGATAGGTGGAAGACACGAGCGCCTCTGCAGCGCTGGCACTGGGAATTGAACCCAAGACCTTTGGCTCTGATGTACCATGTCAGAAACCCAGTCACTAACCACTGGGTTAAAAGGGCTTGTTGAATAGCAGGTAAGTGCGCCCATAGCCCCCCAGGCTCTGCACCTGTGGCCCTTCCCCGAGGATCTCAAGGGCAACCCCAGCGGGTCACTCAACAGGAGTGACTTGTCCTTCGCCAAAATGACGCAGGTGACACAAGCTGGAGCAGATGTGAAGGGCGTGATTGGTCCTTCGCCAAAATCACGCAGGTAGTTTGACGCGAGTTAGTGTCAAACATATATATATATATATATATATATAGGTTATGTTTGTATAGGCTGTATAGGTTTATTTCTTAGAGGGTACAACACTTAGGCTTATACCCTTGTACTGCTTACTCTCGACATTCAAATTCTACGTTAAAACCGTACCACGCTTGGTAGGTAGGTCCCGCCGCCCACGCTTCCGCCCTAGGCCCTCGTCGCACCGCCCCTAGCTAGTCGCGCCCGTCCTAGCCGGCCCCCTGCGGCGTCGCGCCCGTTTCTAGCCGCCCCCCTGAGCCGTCGCGCCCATTTCTAGCTGGCCTCATGAGCCGTCGCGCCCGTTCTAGAAGGCCCCCCCTGAGCCGTCGCGCCCGTCCTAGCCGGCCCCCCCTGAGCCGTCGCGTCCGTCCTAGCCGGCCCCCTGAGCCGTCGCGCCTATTCCTAGCCGGCCCCCTGAGCCCTCGCGCCTGTTCCTAGCCGGACCCCTGAGCCGTCGCGCCCGTCCTAGCCGGCCCTCTGAGCCGTCACGCCCGTTCCTAGCCGGCCCCCTGAGCCGTAGCGTCCGTCCTAGCCGGCCCCCCCAAAGCCATCACGCCCGTTCCTAGACGGCCCTCTGAGCTGTCGCGCCCATCCCTAGCCGTCCCCTCGCGACCGCTCCTAGCCGTCCCGTCGGGCCGGTCCCTAGCCGGCCCGTCGCGCCCGTCCCTAGCCGGCCCGTCGCGCCCGTCCCTTGCCGGCCTGTCGCGCCCGTCCCTAGCCGGCCCGTTGCGCCCGTCCCTAGCCGGCCCGTCGCGCCCGTCCCTAGCCGGCCCCTCGCACCCCCCATCGCGCTCGCTCCTTAGCCGGCCCCTTCACGCCCGATCCGCGCCGGCCCGGCGTTCGTCTCGCCACCGGCCCACCCCCGACTCGTGCACGACACGTCCTTCCCAACCAGCACCGCACTGCACCGCCCGGCACCGCTCTACACCGCACTCCACCGTACTGTACCGCACAGGAGCCGCCTCAGCCGCCGCAGGTGTCGCAGCCCGACACGCACCAGCCGCAGCAGCAGCCCTCGTACCAACCTCAGCAGCCGCAGCAGCAGAGGCGGGCGAATAGAATCCCGCCGGGGTGGCCTGGCGCTGGTGGTGGCGGTGGACATGCTGGTCGTGCGCGTGGTGGACTGCCGGGTGGCGTGTCGGGTGACGCGCGCTGTCAGTACCAGCTCCGGTCCTCGCCGTGGTTTTGTTTGCGGTAAGATTGGTCATACCTCCGTCCGCTGTTTCCGTCACCTGGACGATCTGTTTCGTCAGCGCTTCGGCCTGACGCCCGACCTCCCCGACTGGCATAGCTTGCTTCGCCGTAGCGTTCAGATCTCAAATATGGACATGGATGAGATTATTGCCGCCCTGCATGTGATGTATGCTAATGAATCTAGTGTGACTACTTCTTACGACCCCTTGTTGTCTAGGGTAGGCATGTCTAGTCGTGCCTCCCCTGCGGCGTCAGGCGTAGGATACCCTGCTTTGTTTAGCCAAGGTTCTACAGTCACTACAATGTCTTCAGACTCCACCGCTGCGCTCTCCTTCACCCTCGACTCTGGCGCTTCTCGGTGTTTCTTCTGTCACTCCACTACGCTGACGCCTGTTGCTACTCCTGCTGCACTTTCTTTAGCCGTCCCCTTCTCCGTCCCGGTAGTCGCTCGCAGTTCCACCACCCTTCCCTAACCGGCGGTTCCTTCGGGCTCTCTTACAAGCCTGCACATCCCCTCTTTCTTTAGGAACCTAGTTGGTGTCGGCTGCCTCCAGGACCTTGGCGTCACCACTACGTTCCCTGGTCACGAGCGGTACGCTGTCTATACCAAGGCCGCCACTGGTGCCCCCCTGACCATATTCCCCCGGGACCTGGTATCCGGCCTACTCACACTGGACACCGCGACCCCCCTAGTAGGGACGTCTTCTCAGGTGGCTGCATCTACACAGGTTGCTGCGGCCTGCTCCTGTCGGTCGCTCACTCACCCGACACTCCTGTGGCACCACCGTCTAGGTCACCCCGCCCTCCAGCGTCTGCGTCACATGTCACTGCACAGTCTTGTACTAGGTCTCCCAGGGTCGTTCCCCGATTTGCCCTCCTCCCCAGCACCACCCTGCACGCCCTGTGTTGAGGGCCGGCTCCGCCGTGCCCCTCACTCCTTCTCGTTCCCCCCTACCGCCGCACCGCTACAGACTCTGCACATGGACGTCTAGGGCCCCGCCCCTAGTACTTGTCCACGACTACACGCGCTCCACCACCGTGTTCCCCCTGGAGCGAAAGGCCAACGTGCCTGACATTCTCATCCCCTGGCTTGTCTCTGTGCGTGTCCACCGCGGTCTCCCTGTCTTGCGTCTCCACTCCGACCGTGGTGACGAGTTTGCCTCTGGTGTTCTTGGTCGTTTCA